TTCTGTCTTGGGAACAGTGGCTTTGCCGGGATGGAGGACATCGACGACCTAAGACAACATAAAGCAGAAAAATAACACCTAGTTTTAAAAGGCATAAAAAGAAATCATGGCCGAGAAGGGGACATCTTACCATTTGCTTCCTCTGAAGAAGCCGGTTCGTCATAAACTTGCGGGTCCTGACTGTTACTGTGTCATTCTGTGGATGAGAAGTGATGACCTTTTACTATCCAGTTCATAAACAATTTATTTTTACTGAAAATAAATATTTTTGGTGGGAAAATGACAACTCTTGGTACACATCACAATTTTAATTTGCATTTTAAAAAAATTGAAAAAAATCAGTGACCCATTTTTGAGCACAACTTTAATCCCAGTTATAAATGCTTCAATACAAGTCTGAACAAATCAAATCCAACTCAATACAAAATTGCATACGATCCAAACAGAACTGGGTAAGACAAGAACATCATACATAATCTTAACATGAAATGTCATATTGGTTTTAACGATCCTGTCGTCCAAAACCCTTAACACTTAAAAGAGGATTAAAGTAGACAAATCACAAATCTGTATTAACACGTAACCTCCAGGACTATTTCTATATGATTCATTAGACATTTTTTCACTAGCATTTCCAGCTGTCTTGTGGTGTTCGGATACCAACAATGTGGCACTGACATTAAGATGCCATGGATTTGACAATCTGGGTAAACCGTGTCCCTAACTGTTAACAGTACCAGCCAGCTAAATTGTGTATATTAATTTAAACGTCTACTAAGCGGGCCTTGCTAATGCACTATTTAGGTAGCGCAAGCTAACATTAGCCACTTCCCGTAAATACTAGTTTGTTTAGGAGCTTAAAACGCTGTATTACAAGAACCGTATGGGTTGCATAGCTTGGGGTCGACTTATGAAGAACAAAGTATAAAAACATTTAAAACCTGATCAAAGCATGTACTTGACGCGCGTATGTAATCCGAAACACCGTTAGCCTGACTTGTGTACCTGCGAACTTCCTCTAGGTGTTTCATACTTTAATGATATTGTTAATTTATCACAAGAAACAACTTAAGGAATTGTTTAAACTGTAAAATATGTGTCTTATTGGATGGATGACTTCGATGTTTGGCGGATTTTAATCATAATTTTTTACCACACACTCACCATCTTGACGCCGGCCTCGCTCGGGGACGTAAAAGGAGGAAGGACCAGCAGGCGACCGAATTAATGCCGGTTGAAAATTAAATGGAACGTACTTGTACTGCCTGAAGTAAAAAAAAAAAAAAAAATACAAGTAATACATTTAAAGAAATTGACGCATTTTCGTTCACTTTTAAAATGTTTTAAAATACTCGATTTCATGTTAAATGATTTCTCATTCATGAATTATAAGCTGCACCAATCTTTTTGAGGTGTTTCAACAGAGTTGCCAACTTTTACAAGTCTTGAAATGAGCTTTTGTTTATTTAAATTTTTATTTCTATGTTTGTGTGCGTGCGTGTGTGTGTGTGTGTGTGTGTGGGGGGGGGGGGGGGGGGGGCGCATTAGGTTTGGCAAAATGGCATCAATCTGACAAATAAAAAAAGTTATATTAAAGCAGATTACAATTTCCAGAGGTCAAATGGATGCTATAATCACAATTTGTTACATAAAAAAACCCAAAAAATGTTACTTAATTGTGACCAAAACATATCAAAGACACAGATAAAATGTGGAAAAAATGTATTTCCATGTATCCATCCATGCATCCATTTTCTACACCCACTTATGGGGGCAGCTAGCTGTGATCTGGGGTTGGTCAGGTGACGTCTAGCACAGACATCATATTAGGAGCCTAAAGCCTGAAGAACAATAAAATGAATGCAAGTCAACGGGGCTAAAAAAGTTATTTTCTAATCCGCTTTGCCTCACGCCCTGGATTGCACGTATACTTGTACTTCAATTTAAATGAGAAGTAATGATGTGTGTTTCAACCACGCCTGCCACGTACTTTGAGATTTACCAACTTGTAAAAGTTCCTAATTAGCATGATCAGATATACGTCGCACGTCGCATGTCACCACAGAATCTCCTCTCCCCCAGCACAGCTGCTACTTATCACATGACCAGATTTGTGGTGGTTCTTTACTCCTGAAGGAAGGATTTGAAGTTGGCTAAACTTACAGCCATCCCGTTGTTTTCTCTGTGTCTGGTTTGATGACGTCCCTTTGGTGATGCACATTTGTAGTCCTGGACTTATTTTCACACAAAACCTAAAACATGACGCCTCAGACTGAGGTCTTTCATCGGTCATCTAGCAGACGAAGGTTTGCTGGGAGAGTACATAGGATACACGTATGTGTGCCTTACCTGGGTCTGAAATATAATGAAGCTTCCCTATTTTGCCCAGCTGTGTGCAGCTGCAGCAGGTTTGTTTCTCTTCTTGAATAATGAAAACTGGTAATAGGTCTAAATTATAATCAGCTTTGAATTAAATTTCAATTAAATGATACACATTCAAACAGACGACAAGAGATGTGTCCTTGGTCCTAACTATTGACATATACTATGGACAAATAATGTCCATAGGCTTTAATGATACATTTTATAGACAAAATGGGAGGTTCACACCACCGCCAATTTGGCCATGTCACACATCTCGTCATGCGCATACAATCCAAAAATGGGAAAAGAGGTAGACTGGATAGACTTCAGTTGGGTATGGAGAGTGAGGAACCCATCCAATATGGCGGCGACGCTGTTATGCTGTCCAGCTCCAGCACCCAATGGGGCGTCTAAGTATTCATGTCTTTGAAGTCTAGGTTTGGCCACAGTATGTCCTCAAAGAATGAGGTCAACTTAGTACCTGATTATTCTGTATGACCAGGTTATTCCATCAATGGATTTTCCTATCCCTGATGACACGAGCATATTCCAAGATGACAATGCCAGGATTCATCGGGCTCAAATTGTGATAGAGTGGTTCAGGGAGCATGAGACATCAATTTCACACATGAATTGGCCACCATTGAGTCCAGACCATTGAGAATCTCAGGGATGTGCTGGAGAAGGCTTTGTGCAGTGGTCAGACACTACCAACATCAATGCAAGATCTTGGTGAAACATTAATGCAACCCTGGATGGAAATAAATCTTGTGACATTACAGAAACTTATGGAAACACAGCCACAGCAAATGTCTGCCGTAACCAGAGCTAAAGGTGGTCCGAAGAAACATAAGAACGTGTGATCATTTTCTTTTAGTGCTGACTTTTCTTTTGGCCAGGCAGTGCATTTACACAGAGTTTTATTCCCCTCTGTTTTTATCTCAATTTAAATGCTTTAAATAAAATTCACGCTTTTAGAAGTTTCTCCACAGACAATCAGCACTCTCCATCCTCTCCTGTACACTGAGAGTCCATATAAATAATGTAATATAGGTAGAAACAGGCTTCTAGGGGAGCTGGGCTCCCCTTAGCTCCCCTGTAATTCTAACCCTGCTTTTATTAACAGAACTCTTGTTTGGAGAGAGGCCAGCACCTGCTTGAACCCTAAGTAAAAAGATCTAATTTACCTACAATTGAAACCGCAAGATTCCACACAGGGAACAACTAGGCTAAATATCAGACATTTACCTTTAGTCTGTTAAATAGATTTATTCTTTCAGATGACACCCCAGTGCAAAAGTTGGAATTTCTAAATTCAATATCATTCAACCAAAAAAAATTCTTAAGAGAATCTCAACAGAGACCTTGATCTTTTATACTTTTACTGCAACAAATCTTATCCTACCAAAGAAGAAAAACAAAAACGACTAAACCAGTAAGCATTTGTTAGGTCAAGGGATATGTTTTACAGTAGTTCATACTCTTCAAAATGTCAGAAAAGATTTGCTATTCCTTTCTAAATAGTATTAAAATGCATATTCCCAAAATATGGTGAGAATATAACAAGCTTATAACAAGATAATAGATATATAACGTGAAGTGATTATCTCTGAACAAAGTTCCTCCTGGTCCAGATGGACTTTGAGAACTTTTATTGTAATTTCGGGGAAGAAATAAACTGTTTACATTTCAATGTTTAAAGTTTAGACACGTTTTCCAGGCACGTCCAACTGGGAGGAGAATTTAAGGAAGACCAGGACAGGCTGCAGGACGTCTCTCTGCTGGCCAGAGAACACCCTGGGATCCCCCCTAAAGAGCTGGGGTGCCCCCAAGGGCTGGGGCCCCTACAGAAAATTGCTGGCCACACCAGAGAAGACCAATGTTCTTTAAAGAATCATAATAATGTTCACACAAACTATAAATGTAAATTATTTCATCAGATATAAATGTAAAACCCAATAAACATATACTATTAAAGATTAAATAAATAATAAAGTATATATGTTTCTCCTGCTCACAAAACAAAAGTTTGAATCTATAGTTTAGTGGATGTTTTTGTGAAGACAGCAACAGGTGAATAAATTAAATAAGGTTTTCTAAATTTCTACAAGAAATTTTAAAACAACAATCCAAATAACTGTTCAAATGTCTTTCTGAAAATATTGTTTTCCTATTGGAAGTGAGCATGTTGGATGCATTTTTTAAATTATATATATATATATACAGTATGAGCTGGCCCAAGTGGCTGGGCCTCTCTGCTTTGGCTGCTGCCCCCGCGACCCAACTCCGATTAAGTGGAAGAAAATGGATGATTGGATATTTGTTAAAATTACTTAGTTGGCTCAAAATATGCACACCTCAGAGTACAATACTCAATTCCACCAGTAGTAGGAACTGAGACAACAGAAATTGAATAGTAACCCTGTTTCTTAAATGACTCAACTATATAATCATATAAAAGGATTTCAGCTTTTTCTATATAAATCAACAGTGAGTGTGTGTGTGAATAAGGGAGTGTGAGAGTCTGGAAATGAGATCCAGCACCTTCTAGCATGCTAGCTAATTATTTTCTGCAGTGGCAAGTTTCACCTTTATGTTTTTTCTTATTATTAAACAACAGGCAGTTAATAAACAAATCTCTGTTACAGAATTTTATTGATTTTGCCGCAACAGTGTCCACTGGCATTGGAGTTTCATTTAAAATAAAACTGATCTGAAATTAGAACAGAAGGTTACAGTCAATTTGTTTACAATTTTCCCCAATTCATATTGTTAAGCCCTCATTGTCAAACCAAAGGGATCTGAAGCAAGTCTGGCAGAACAAGTGCAATGCAAACATTATTTCTGCAAATTGTTGATGAATTTCCCTCAGAACGTTTCCATAGTTAATTAAAAATAGGAAAACATCATTCAGTGGTTCTAATCATACAGAAAAAAGACAAATGTGAACCACTTGGGTATTCATTAGCTGAGTTTTTAGCTGCAACTTGGATGAGCAGAGAGGACTATGCAATCTTGAATGAGTGGCAATTTTACAACATCTGAAGCTCAGAGTCCCACAATGTCACGTACACGATCATACTTTCATACTTCACAGCTGTTTGAGGAAGAAAAATACCTTGAAAATCAAATGTTTCGCTCAGTTGCTGAGTACAAATATTACCCGTTCAAGTGTTCCTGTGAAAAAATAAACATCTGTCGGAAAGTACAAATCGATGACAAGGAAACTAGTCACTGCATTTCATGTAGCAGGGTTATTCAATCCCGGTCCTGGAGGGCCGGTATCCAGCATGTTTTAGTGGTTTCTCACCTGTGGAGCAGCTCATCAAGCTCTGCAGAAGCCTGGTAATTACCTGCTGATTGAAATCAGGTGTGTTGAAACAGGGTTAAAACTAAAACATGCTGGATACCAGCCCTCCAGGCCTGGAATTGAATGCCCCTGATGTAAGGCATGGGCAGAATTGACAATATGAACGATTTCCTGTTTTTGTGACACATCCAGTGAACTCAAAAGCTTGTCAAACCCCAAATACTAAGAAATTGTAATAAAATGCATATAAAATCTGAGATATTTTGCTTTTTTTTTTTCCCACCCAGAAACGAAAGTCAGATAATAAACATTCCCATTTTCTTCTGAATAGATCTGGTTTGGACATCTGGTTTATTTGGTCATTTACTGCCTGCTCTTTAGATGAATCAGAGCCGGATAACACAACTCTGATAAAAGTGGAGTGATTTTTCTTGGTACTTTTGAGCTGCTTGAAACTGAATTACACATTACTTGTTACATTCAACCATCCATTAAAACACTATTTTCTCCTGAAAATTAAAAAAAATAAATCACACAGGTGCATATTTGTAATGGAAACTAAAATGTTGGAATGGTATAAAACCTTTGCCTAATGGAGAAAAACAAAACACAGCATCCCTTTACGTATCATCATTGGAAAATAGGCAGTCCAAATGATAATAGATTGTGGGGCTTTTCAAGTAGTTTCACAAACCAAACAGGGAAAACTAAAACTACCTAACATACTTACAAGGGTCTTTAAAACCCAAAGAATGCAATGAAAATTCTAACTTTTGAAATGTCCCAAAGGCCAGTACTCAAAACGACTATCGGAACTTCCGGGTAACTTTACCCGACCTTCACAGCATGCGATTGTCTCCATTTCACCAGTCCAGCTCAAGAGGATCACCTTCCAGGCCATTTCAGGGTATTTACTCAGAAATGGCCCGGTAGTAGTTGGGCAGGACTTAACTCATGCCAGTTGGTTGTAACGCAGCAGGAAATTACGTCAGCAGACATCGCCAAGCAACCAGCATTTTTGGTGAATCAGGAGAGGGAAAGGCATTGACACTGCTTTAAAATCGCTTTCTAAACTCCCAATACAGGAAAATGTGGCGAAAAAGCCTCTGCCATGCTGTAATTCACACCGCTTTGTGGTCTCCTACAAAGCACCATAAAAAAACAGCATTTCATCTGGTCATTTTACACCTCACAGCTGCTCTCCCCATCCCCTGAATGCATTACTATTGCTACCTGCAAAATCAATACTTAATTTGATGGATAAAACATCTTTAATGTTATTAAAGTCTATGGCTGTGGGCGCCTTTTTGTGCTGATCGGGGACGTCATTCACTGCTGAAACGGTGATATGCTGACTTCTAAGCAAAAGGCTTTAACGACCTATTTTATAAAGAGACTGCTGAGAAGACTGAGCCAGAGGATTTTTCATCACACTCCTCATTCCCAGAAGTGTCCCAGAACTCCTACAGTGGAAACACGCGATGACAAACTTTTTTTGGGGTGGTATGTTAGCGATCTTAACTCACAAAAAGTTGCAAGATGAGCACAGACTCACTCCCTAGCAGTATAAATGTTGATTAGCACTGCCAATTAGTCACTGTGGAGATTTTCCCAAATTAAATCTGATTTTCAGAGCGCGCCACTCTGTATGTGCATGAAAGGTTAGGTGAGTCCTGCAGATTGCACACATCACATCCAACAGAGAAATAAAGAGCAAAAAAAAAAAAAAAGATGGCTGCGATGAGGGCTCACAACATTGGTTTCTACAAGCCAAGCCACTGACACGTGCAATGCCAGGTCATTTCCTTATGCTGGTGCGGTTCCAGTTGGTCAGATATCCATTTCAAACTGGGCATCGTCACCTTGAAAGGAAATAACAACAAAGAAAATAAAGAGAGTTTTTTAATTATACGTGACAAAATGATTTAAATAGCAAGTTAACTTAGAAACCATTTTTACTTGTTATTTTTTAAATACAATCGGTCACTCTGAGCTTCTTGTGCTGGCTGAACTAAAAAAATGTACTGCTATTTCCTGCATTAGCTGCCCAAAAGAAATAGATTGGTAAATGCTCCGCCACACCGCTCCACGTCACACCGTAAATTAGCATTTTATGGGCTCCACCATCTTGGCTAACGATGGGAAAGCTGTTGTCGATTTCTCCGACAGAGTCTGTTTGAAATTACTGACGAGCTCTCCCCACTGCTGCGGCACTCTTCCGAGAGGAACGGGGCGTGGTCCCCCACTTTGAGGGTGCTGACTGCTCGGGGATAAGAAGAGTATCCTTGTCTCTCCAGCGTTGTGTGGACCGTTACATCTGTTTGCCCACACAAGAAGAAGCAGCCAAGACCAAGCAAGACTTATATTTTAAATCTGGGCTGCCTGGCATAATTGGATGTATTGATGGCACACATATTTGCATTCAAGCACCATCCGAGCATGATTACTTATATGTAAACTGTAAAGGTTTTCATTCAGAAAATGTCCAGCTTGTCTGCAACTCTGATATGATCATTTACGACTTAGTAGCTAAATGGCCTGGATCCACCCACGATGCACACATTGAGCGCTCTTCATCAAGAGTTTGAGGCAGGAAGATTGAATGACATTCTCCTGCGTGACAACGAGAACCCACTGAAGAAACGGCTCATGACTCCTGTCACTGCACTGAGGTCAGCGCAGGAACGCACCTACAAGAGGAAGCATGCAACAACACGCAACCTGATTGAGCGCTGCATCGTTGTGCTCAAACGTAGGCATGTGATAGTTACTGTAGTGTGTAGCTATTATCAATAAGTGTTATTTTTCAGGTTTCACTGCTTACACAGTGAACTACACATGCACCCTGTGTGTGTCATTATTGCTGCTACTGTTGTCCTGTACAACATTTGTGTGACTACGCGATTCCCGCTCCCAAGAGATGAAGAGGAGGTTCTAGAAGAGGAGGAACACTCGTCCGAAATCACATCATCAACAACCTTTGACTTTCTTTCTGATATTCTCACTGTTATTAAGATCACCTACGTTTCCAAATCAATTCAAGTTAAAATAATAAAATATTACATTTTAACGAGCAAAATAATTAATCAATCAATAGTGTGAAAAAATATTCTTCAATTTGGTTTGATGTTTGCTTCTTTTACTTATAGCTTTTACTTATAGGCTAAATAATAGTTAGCAAAAGAACAGATACATATGTGTGGTCCAGCACTGTAACATGTTAAACAAAAAAATAAAATAAAACTTGTTAAACAATTATATAACAAAATCATTCATACCAAGTAGGGCTGCACAACATATAGCAAATATATCGTTATCACGATATCAGCATGTGCAATATGCATATCACAAAGAACAGATAAACATCGCAATGAATGGTCAGCTCAAATGTTTGCTATACATAATGTATTCTGTCAATCAAATGGAAGCATGATGATTTTTTTAACAAATCAAATAGAGCTCTTCACCCATTTGGCCAATTGGGTGGGTTCTCATAGGTTGGATGCTCGCCCCCGAGGTGGACGGCACTTAATTTTGATGGTTAGCTTTGTTCTGCTGATTCTGCTTTTCCCGGGAGCCCCTGATTGCCCTTTCTTGTTCATTTTCTTTTTCCTTTCCTCACATCTTTTGCTTTTCTCATTTGTATGATTTTTTGTCATTTTTTATTTCTTTGTTTTTGATTATTTTTGTTCCTCAGTTAAATTTTTATTAATATTGTAATATTATCATCGCAATATTAATCACTGTTATCGCATATCGCAGGTTTTCCTAATATCGTGCAGCCCTAATACCAAGTACTTTTGTTACATTTATGTATGTATGTATGTATGTATGTATGTATGTATGTATGCATGTACGTACGTACGTACGTACGCACGCAACGCACGCACGTACGTATGTATGTATCTAGTTATTCTATTTACAAATTTACAAACCTTTAAAGGATGGACTGTTTTGGTCAGCGAAACTGCAGCTGACGATGGAGGAGTGCTATTTCTAATTTTAATTTTTCTTTCTCCAGCTCCAGCTTTTCCTGTTTAGTCTGTAATTGTGTTGTTTCCACCTCTACTCTGTGAATTTCTTTTTCCAGAAGAATTCTTTGCAGGTCATTTTCATCTCTTCCTCTTTTATGAGATGAAGACGGCCTTTTTGGAAGCTCATCCTGCATCATTGACGTGGCTGTTGTGGGGCTTTCCTCTGGTCTCTCATTTGAATCTAAAATGTTTTAATTTTGTTAATAAAACATAGACGTGAGGATAACTCAGATCTTCATGAATAACCTACCACTGGTGGCTGTAACATCTGCCCTGTCAGTGCAGCACTCATCCCCGAGACCTCTTTGTCTGCTGACACCTCGTAGCCTGGCCTGCCAGACAGAAAGAGTCTGGTAACTCACAGGCAGAGGCATATGAGGGGCAGGCCTAGGAAGCTCAAAAATAACCAATCAGAAAAAAGACGGAAATGCTGAATGTACCACGCGACGCTGTAGTTTTTTTAGCTGTAGTCGCTCATTACATCCTGGCATCCTGTAGGCTCAGGCATCCAGTTAGGATGCATCCTGGTTTTCCGGGTACGTCCAACCAGGAGGAGACCCAAGTGAAGACACAGGACACGCTGGAGAGACTATGTCTCCCGGCTTGCCAGGGAATGCCTTGGGTTTACCCTGAAGGAGCTGGCCCAAGTGGCTGGGGAGAGGGAAGTCTGGGCCTCCCTACTTAGGCTGCTGCCCCCGCGACCTGACCCCGGATAAGCGGCCGAAAACGGATGGATGGATGAAGGAATTTGGTCTTTCATACAAGTTATTTATGTAATCTGCGAATGCAAACAAAATGATGCTAAATGTTTATAAAGTTTAATTCCAGCTATATATTTAAACATTTTATAAAACGTTTAACAATTTGCTTTTAAGCCAAATGTTTTATCATCCTTACCTGAAATAACATCGAAGCAACTCTGCTGATATTTATTTTTCTACGTCATCTGAAAACCCCCTTGGTTGTTAAACCGCTTTGTGACTCATACCTGTTGTGGGCTTGCCGTCACGGTGGTTGACGTGGTTGTTGGCTTCGTTCTTCTTGTTCTCTCTCGGGATATTTTGGCTGGTCACTCCAGGGATGGCAGGCAGATGTGCTGGAGGAGTCTGAGCAATGGGAGAATTACGCCTGTCCAGTAAAAACTTGCGGTCATAGATGATCCGGGTTCCTAAAACATGAAAAACAAAATTTACATAACTCACATGCCTTTGAATTGTTTATTGTTTGTGCTGAATTTATTTGTCCAATCTACAAATTTATACTGACTCCAGTATTTTCATATAACAAATCTTCAAACTTGTTAATAATACATCTGTCTATCTATCACCAACTTAGTGCCATTTCCTCATGTTGCCGTCCTTAAGAGCAGCAGAAGCTTTTTCTGCCCAACACGCAAGCTACTTTTTAAATGTACACAATCCAAACGTCCATCCCCCTTTCTCCAGACTTCCTCGCCAAAGTGTACCACCAGAATATAGGAACGTGCAAAGCTTGTTCCTGAAGGTTCACTTTAACATTTTTGACCATTGTTGACACCTATTCTGCCATAATTCCTAATGTAACGCACATAACTGTATAACAACTTAGTATATATCCATCCTGACCCTCCTCCCACTTCCTTTCTCCTTTCAGAAGGCTGCCAACTCACATACCAAAGAAACTCTTCCAGCCGCGTTCACAGACAACTGGTCTGTCACCTAAACATTTCCCAACATGAGCCTCCGACTAAACAAAACATGCTTAAAGGAAATATACAAACAAAACGATTCATTCCATCTTTGATATGAGGCAGCCTGGCTCTGGCTTCACTTCCTGTTTGGCTGCCCCAAGCCGACAACGCGTGATTGGGGGTATGTGCAGAGGTGACAAAAGACGGTCAGAGGGCAGGTTGATGGTGGTGACGTTCACAATGACTGGGTGAAGTTTTTCCAGGATTGTACGTTTCAGACAAGATTAAAATATCCTGTTTTTTGAAAAAACAATTAATTTATTGCTTACCATTAGAATATGAAGAGCATCTCTAGCAACATGGCAATGAGTGCTCCAGATATACATCTACTGCACCTTTAAGACACAACTTACCTGCCCATAAACAATCTTACACACATACTGTATACACGGTATATACTGCACATGCTGACATTGCACTTATTATATATATTATATAATATTTCACAAGTTCCAATTTTTTTACATGAATTTCATTCTTGGCTTCAGCTCTAACAAAAAATAATGAAATATGTGTGTGTTTCTGAGATTTAACCCCTTTACTGCCAGGTTTATTATCAAAACCAGAATTTTGTAAACTGTAAAAAAAATTAAAAAAAAATAAAATAAAAATCACATCATTTTTTGTGTGTTATGTCCAGATGACCTTTTTTGGGGGTAAACTGTCACACAGCCTTGGAGTGTCACAAATAGGCATAAAAATATTTTTTGCTCACTTTTTAGTTTTTGTGTGATGTCATATTTTCTAAATAACTCACGATTTTCAAGTTTGTGCACAAAAAACTAATCTTTAATAATAATTTTCTAGCACATGAACAAAGAAAATGTGTGTGTGTGTGCACGTGTGTGTGTGTGTGGTGACAATAAAGTTGAATCTTATCTAATCATATGCCCATCTGACACCTAAGTGCTCTACAAAAGATGACACTCAACCACTCCCAGCCTATACTTAAGCAAACACAAATGCTAAACATCACAAGATAGGACACTTAGGTCCTTCAGTGTTTGTAGCAAGATGCCGCACATCTTCTACAAGTCTGTTGTTGAGAGTGTAATCTCTTCAGCCATCGTCTGTTGGGGTAGCAGCATCAGAAGCAGGGACCTGAAAAGGCTCAACAGCCTAATAAAAAAGGCTGGTTCTGTTCTGGGGACGACTGTGGAACCACTGGAGGAGATCATGCAAAGAAGGATTCTCCAGAGAATCAAGAAAATGATGGACAACCCTGAGCATTCTCTTCACAAGACTGTCCGACAACGGAAGAGTGTCTTCAGTCAGAGGCTTCTTCAGTTTCGCCTCAACACTGACCACTACTGGAGATCCTTCCTGCCAACAGCCATTGTAATATACAACAACTCTTTGATGACTTGATTATTCTTTTTATTCTGAGCTACTACAGCAATCAATTTCCCTCTGGGATTAATAAAGTATTTTTGAATTTGAATTGAATTTGAATATATCAGAATAGTAAGCACAGAATGCATTTATCATGGCAAATGTTTAACATTCAGTTCGATAGTTTTCCATCCAGCCACAAATGACATAGATATGCAAATGTCTTTTAACATTTTTTTTTATACATTTCAAAATAATAATGACATAATTCCTTCCTTTATCTGCTTTTGTCTGGTACATTTCATAGATGTTTTGGTTCCACACAGAGCACATTGATGTGTGATGACAAGAATACACAGATGGGCATTTAAGGTGGATCGGTAGCAGTCATAGCAATGCAGTGCAGCAATAACTTCTATGTTAGAGTTAAAAATCATTTAGATATATTATTTCATAATGAAAGATCCTGCCAAGCACTTTTCCTTTAGTCATAAGTTATACATATTAAACGCAAAAGGGACTACATGTTACTGTGTAAATACTGATTTTCATTGGCGGTTTTAAACAGGGGCCCACAAGGGCCTGGGCCCCTATAGAACCGGCCATGGCCCCTGTTATGGCCCCTGTGCTGAAGAGATCGGAATTTTTTTTCCTACGCTGCCTCGGAGACTGGAACTAATGCGCTGCAGCGTTTCACACGGAGCCTTTAGAGCGCAGCACACTCTGTGGACAGAACTGTTTACCCGGTGGATTTTTGAATAAAAGATTAAAAATAGTTTAAATGGGACCCGAAGAAATTCTTGAGGACGACTAACGGAAAAGACGCTAAGAGACGAAGGTAAGCAATACAGTTTATTTTCCTGACATCAGTGTTTTGATCATAGTTGCGCGTTTCTGTCATTTACTTTTAAGTTCCTAACTGAGTCTATCCACAGTTAATACTGATTTGTTTTTCCTTTGTTACATTAACTGTAAAATAAAAATGAAGTTGCTGCATTTTAAGCCTTACACACGTTGAGATTAGATCACAGTATTCATTTATCTATGACTTTCTCGCAGCACTGACTGGAAGCATCAGCGGCCATGAAAAGAAAAAGGGACATGTTGTCCTTTTTTACCGCTGTTTATAAAGAACAGCGTAGACAGAGAGAGGATGAAAGTCACGAGGGAGCTGAGAAGCAGGATGAAAGAGAGAAGGAGGAGTTGGTTGGAGAGGAACCAGAGAGGTCAGAGGCTGTCCACCCTGAGAGTGAGGAGGAGGAAGATGTAGGCTGTGAGGGAGAGAGTGAGGAGCAAAAAGAGGGACATCTTCTGTCATGTGCACCGTGTACTCTACCGTCAGGTTTGTGGGTGTTGAACAAACCCCTCTGTGATTGCAGCTCATATTGTGTGTAAAATGCATTTGAGGCATGCTGACTCTGGACCAAAATTTCTGTTGTTTATATTTAATAAATAGATAAAATAAGACTCTGAATTAACTTATTATGACTTTTATCCTCATGCTAACATTTATTTTCTTTCAGATATCAGCAAGTGCAAGGATGACCCACCTACTCAGCCTCATTTGAGGACATTTCCAATGACATTAATAGGTATCCTTGGGTTGAATATTCTGTTACTATGGACTCTACTTATTGTCATGCATGTAGACATTTTAGCCCACCAAGTAGCGCAGGAAGTGTGTTTGACTCACCATGTGGATTTAGGAACTGGAAAAAAGCAACTGACAGAGGAGGGGGGTTTTCAGTACATGCAAAGTCTGAAAGGCAAAAATTGTCTGAAATTGTATCGTGCAGATATTTAATTTGTTTGAATGTTTTTTTTTTCATATGCACAGTACATGTAATCTTCAAATAAAGTCACAAACTATAATAATCAACTAGAATTATTTTTTTACTCAAGTCTCATGTTGCGGTGAAGCATTCAGAATTGTTATCTGAGTACCATAAAAACACGCCAGTTTTACTTTCACAAGTAAACCATTACTGCATTCGCTGTAATAGTTTACTTGTTCATTGTCTTTAATTATGAATTTGTTTGAATCTTATTTTAGTAAAATACAGCTGTAAAAGATCATAGATAAAAAAGTAAAGGAAATTTTTTGATAAATTTGATCCCCAAAATATAGTAAAGATAGATATGAAAAAGAAGAGAACAAAAAAAGTGGGTAGTTTCACAGTACTAGGAATTTCCTTAGGCAAAATTGTGCACAAGCACAAAATTAGTCATATGACAGAGACAAAAAATAATTTAGATATTGCCCTAATTTTTCCCTTTTTTTTGTGCCCCCATGAAAAAATTCTGGCCCCACTGTGGCCCCCCTGGAAAATTTGGTCTAGAACCGCCCCTGGCGTGCGGGCCTGTGTGCGTGCGGGCCTGTGTGCGTGCTTTTACTTTACAGTGATAAAATCAGTGATTTTATCACTGTAAAGTAAAAGCACGTTAGGCAGGTCTTGCAGCAGTGTGTGGAAATAACCTCCTTGGTTTTGTCGCTCTTCTTTTGCAAGCAACCTTGTAATGAATCATGGATCTGGCTGTGCACCAGCAATACCATAAAAAGCTGCTGTACAGTATTTTTACTTTAAACAGAATGACTGTCAAAGTAAACACTTCCAGCGTGTTTAAATCCTTTAACAGGATCCAATGCAACCATAAAAATCTCTGCGCTGCACATCGACCAATCGGATAGCAGCTAAAGCACAGGGGCGGGGCTAATCTTTGTTTTTGTTTTGGTCAGGATGACAAGGCAGCCTAGGCCACAGGGAGACACTAGTTAGTTAAACACAGACACACAAAAACAACGACAGGTGTGGCCAGGTTTCACCAACGATAGGTAAAGTGGGTAGTCTCACCTCCAGGAGTGGTGGAGAATAAAGTGCCTCCGGGGGTGGTACAGTAGTCATGAGGTAGCTGCGTTGTGTCGTTGATCAACACCGTCCTGGTCGGGATGGCCCTGCTCTCGCTAAACTGACGACTGGTCGACATTTTCGGCTCCGATTAGGTGACAAATCCAGCAGCTACAGAAAATTGGGGTGTTTATTTCCCGACGGACGGTGTAAGCCCGGGCCGTCCCCCACTCTTTTACAGCTTTCCAAAAGCTTTCTTGGCTCTGCTTTCGTCTTCCCAGCCGTCAGCGCCGTCCCCTCCCTCAACAAGGCAGGAAGCACGACGAGCTGCGGGCGGAAGTGAAGTCACAGCGGGGCGTCACCTACTGTTTACTTGTTTTTTTTGGGTTATTTATTAAACAAACAAATCCAATGATATGCATTTTTAAAAGTAGTTTGTAAAAACAAGATCGAAGAATGGGTGTAAATGGATTAAATTCATAAGTATTATATGTATATAATACACATAAAATCAGAGTCATAAAATACTAAATATAGGAAAAGATGATTAAAAAGTCAATAGTAAACAAATATAAAATGTAGATGCTTTCTTTATGAAATTCATATGACCTCTATGTGTTTAGCATTCCCTCAAACACAGCAATCAAGGTTATGAGGTCTAGCACCTACCCTGGCCTGCACCTTACTTACCTAACTTTTAACTGCACTCTCTGCTTGCACTTTATTTCTACACTGTCACCCCTGGCAGATGCTGACTAGTTTTATTCCCTCTAATAATTAAACTTTGTTACGTTCTCATTTGTTAGTCATTTTGGATTAAAGTATCTGCCAAATACATAAACACCTCGAAAGCAAATCTTGCGCATGCCCTTAAACAGAATCTCCACAGCTTTGCCAAACTGGAAATTGCCACATTTGTGGAGATTTTAATAGAATAGAATAAAATAGACTTTAAATCCCACAGTGGGGAAATTCACTTGCAATGGCAGCACACACATTTGGAGAAAAGGAAGAAGAAAAGCAATTACAATATTATGGGTAGATACACAAAGGCAGAAAGCTATTGTAACCTTCAACCACTAAAAACAACAAATAAAAAGGAAACTTGGGTTTCCAGAACTACGCAACACAAAGGACACATTGATGTTTTTGTATAACAGTGTAATGCCAGTACCAGTTAAAGATTGAATATGGAACATGGACACTTTGGCGTACTCTGGTGTTCAGAGAGGGTATTGCAACAACAGAACTGATTCTCCAGCTGTACGGATGTTGGTTCCATGTTTAGTGACAAATCGTACAGTATAGTACTAATTTCTATTATTTTACAACAGTATTTACTATTAGAACATCTTGTTGGCTCAGAATCAGCTGTTTGACTTGTCAAGTCTGCCATTTTACACAGTCCCAGGGTGTTTTTTTTTACTGTCAAGGCACCTGACTTTGCAAGGCGATGTTTTGTGAGGCCAGGTGCTTTGCTTATGAGGACATTGTCCTTCCTTGGTCAAAGAAAACGGTTGAATGGAACAGACTTGCATCACGTGATCGTTGTGTTATGTGACACTGGAGGTGACATTATATTTTATACGTATAAGTTTCAATATAAATATATAACGAGACTTTTACTTTTTAAATTGTGTATACATTGGTTAAATTAAATATGGAAGTGGGTAATTGCCTGCTAGCCACCGAAGCTGCAACTACTAAGCAACTAACCAACCATAAATAAACGCTTTCGACATTAAAAAACATTTTAGATATCGGCCCGATAACTACAATTAGTTGAGTTACATTTAAACTTGAAATTTCACCACAAAGTAGCTGCCAGCTTCTGATCTGCCATTCTTTTGAAAATGCTGCACTGTATTCTGGGAAATTTTTGACAAAGGTCAAGCTAACAGACACCTCCCGTATATCCGGAGAGTGCGAAAGATGGCGCTCTGAGTAGCATGTCCGTCTAGGAGCTCTCACTGTTTCCCTCGAAATTGCAAAGTAAATAGCCTTTTTACTCTCATTCAGTTGGCTAAAACATTGTCGCTTGAGGAGTGAAGTCATCTTATGCATTTATGAGCTTAAAGGATCACGCTTACTGTGTGGAAATGTCGGGTGAAAAGTCTGTGAGCGGGAGCAAACGTGTTGCGCCGCCGACTACTCCTAACAAGCCTCAGGTGCAGTCCAAGAAGAAAAATAGGACAGAGGAGGATAAAGAAACAGAAGATGGGGACTCTACACTGATAAAGATTCTAAATGCGGTAACCAACCTGTCTGACAGATTTGATATGCAAGAAAACAAACTGGAAAGTTTAGCCACCAAGATGGAGGAACAGCATAGCATGCTAACGGAGCTAAAGAAAGAAGTCGCGGAGAATGAGAGCAAAACAACGCTGCTGGAAAGTGAACTGGTTAAAGTACGAGAGGAGTTGCTTGCAACAAAAGAAAAGTGTAAGGAACAAGAAAGATATAAGAGGAGATGGAACCTACGACTTAAGGGTGTAAGTGAAAAAGACAACGAAGACATAAAAGGCACGGTAACTGCTATTCTGAACAAAATCGCCCCGGGAGTCCCGTGGAGCTTCCAGGATATGGTGGACACGGTGCATCGTATCGGGAAAAAAGATGCTCTCCATACAAGGCAAGTAATTATTCAGTTCGTGAAGAGAGAGTGCAGAGACCTCATCTGGAAGCTTTCCAAGAACTGTGATGTCAGCAAGAAAAATCGTCTAAGATTTGCAGAAGATCTGATTCAGGAAGACAGAGAAGCGAGAAGGCTGCTGTGGCCGAAGGTGAAGGAGGCGTGGGAGAAGAACAAGAGAGCATACTTCAGAGGACCGTTTGCATTTATTGAAAACACCCAGATCTTCCCCTGAAGAAGGAGATGGGGACGGCTTTCCGAATGAGTGGTGAAGTCATTTAGAGGGACAGTTCTACTATTCACTAAGCTAGTTTTCTTTGGTGAAATCTTACATTCCTGTTATATCTAATTTAGGGTTTGTTTGTTGTTTATCTATTTATTTGTTTTTTTTTTTCACGTTTTTGCTTTTTGGGTTTAGATCTGTTTTGAATTCCTTATGAGTTCAAGAATATCTTTTATTTCATTAAACGCAAGAGGACTAAAGGAAATTACCAAAAGAAAGGCATTATTTCTATTCTGTAAGGAACAAAAAGCACAAGTTATATTTCTTTAAGAGACTCATTCGTGTGAAGACGGCAAGGCGTTCTGGAAGACTCAATGGGGAGACAGCATCCTTCTTAGTCATGGATCCAACAAATCTGGAGGGGTGGCAATCTGTTTTAACAACTATCCGGGTGAGCTTGTGGAATATAAAGCAGACTCAAAGGGTCATTGGATAGTTGCTGTTTTGAATTGTGAGGGTGTTTTGTGGATTATTTGTAATGTTTACGGATATAATTTGATTACAGAAAACAAATTATTCTTAAATGAAATTTCAAAAATTATTGGAGAATCTAAAGTTAAATATCCAACAGATAATATATTGGTTGGTGGGGACTTTAACTGTGTTCCTGATGAATGGATGGATAGATATATCCCACTAAATTCTCTACACATGTTTATAATCCAACATTGAGAAGTTTTTGTGTAAACAACTCGCTATCAGACGCTTGGAGACATATTAACCCGTGTGTTAGACAATTTTCATGGATACGTGCAAATGGTAATAATAAGTCAAGAATTGATTTATGGCTAGTATCTCAAGCTATTTTAGACCAGATCTCTCTTGCTGAAATATCGGCAGCCCCTGTTACGGATCATTGTGTAGTTTCTATAAACTTAATTCCTAAGACAGGAAATATAAGTAGAAACGGATACTGGAAATTTAATGCGTTATTTTTGAATGATGAGGAATACTGTAAAATGATTAAGAAACTATTATTGTCTGTCATAGAAAATCCTCATCTTGATTCTGCAGGGAAGAAATGGGAATTCTTCAAATATGAAGTCAGAAAATATTCTATTAATTATGGTAAAGAAAGGAAGAAAAACAATAAAGAAACAGAAAGACAATTGTTTAGGGATTTGAATAAACTTTGCGGAGATTGTACACTTTCAGATACGAATAGAGAGAAATATTTAAAACTTCAATCAAAACTGGACGAGCTTTATTTAAATAAGGCTAAAGGAGCTTTCATTCGGTCAAGGGCAAAATGGATAGAAGATGGAGAGAGGAATAGCTCATATTTTAGTAAATTAGAGAAAAATAGACAGACAAAAAATGCGATAAATTCACTAAATATTAATGGTAAGTTAATTAAAGATCAAAGAGAAATTTCAGTCAGTATTTATAATTTTTACCATCAGTTATACTCTTCTCACTTTAAAGAATTGGATTCCGTAAAATTCTTTAATTACATTGAAAGGTTTATCCCTCAAATTAATTTAGAATTTAAAGAAGAATGTGATATGGATTTGAATATTTCTGAACTTGACAAGGTGATTCAAAAGGTAGCACTGGGTAAGTCTCCTGGCCAGGACGGTCTAACCACAAACTTTTATAAATTCTTTTGGAAAGATATTAGAGAGCTACTATTTGAAGTTTTACAAGAATGTATTCGGAATAATTCACTCTTAACTACGATGAAACAAGGAGTAATAATACTGATACCTAAACCCAACAAAGATAAATCTAATATTGATAACTTAAGACCTATTACATTGCTGAATGTGGACTATAAATTATTCACTCATACCTTGGCTAACAGATTAAAAAATGGAATAAATGATTTCATTAGTGAAACTCAATCAGGTTTTCTTCCAAATAGACATATTCATGACAACATCCGTCTGATTCTTGATTTATTAGATTATGAAAATTTGGTAGAAGAGGATGGGGCTATACTGTTCTTAGATTTTTATAAAGCTTTTGATAGCCTCGAACATCATTTTATTATAAAGTCACTTCAGCACTTTGGATTTGGTAAAAAATTCATTGATATTATTACATTCCTATACAAAGATATATCGAGTGCAGTTCTTCTTTCTTCGGGTACGACAACCAGATTTCCAGTTAATAGAGGAGTTAGACAAGGAGATCATATTAGTCCACTTCTTTTTATTATAGCAACAGAAATGCTGACTTTACTAATTCAAAATGATCAATCAATTAAACCGTTAACAGTGGCAGGACACTCGCTTAAAATAATTCAACTAGCAGATGATACTGCATTATTGTTGAATAGTACCAAGGAAATTCCTAATGCCATGAAAACGCTGTCTTTGTTCTCACAAGCCTCAGGTTTAAGGTTGAACGCTAACAAATGTGAAATATTAACAATTCATGATACTGAGGAGTTTCATATTTGCGATAGCCCTATTAAGAATGAAATTAAGTATTTGGGTATGAAGATTAATAAAATCTTTAAGGAGAGAGTGGATAACAATATTCAACTGATAATTAATAAAAATCAAAAGATTCTAAATAGTTGGCTCCAAAGAAATATATCAGTTTTTGGTAGAATACTTTTAACAAAAATGGAGAGTATATCTAGATTAATCTATCCTGCTTTTTCAGTAGCTATCCCTGACCAATATGTTAAGAGAATAAATAAAACACAATATGACTTTATTTGGAATAATAAACAACATTTGATTAGGAAAAACGATCTAGTAAAACCTATAGAAGAAGGAGGTCTGAAAGTATTTGACTTTGAAGTAATGAATGGAGTTATTAAATTACAATGGCTAAAAAAAATTTTAATTAAGAAAGATTCTATCTGGTTTTGTATTCCTTCATTTCTGTTTGAGAAGATTGGAGGTATAGATTTTCTGTTAAAATGTGATTTTGATCCTCTTAAATTACCCATCAAACTTTCTAACTATATTAAACAAGTGTTGATGTACTGGAAAATGATCTACTCGCACAACTTTAGCCCACATTCCTCCTCTATATGGAATAACAGATTTGTTCTGTATAAACGGAAATCCATGTATTATAAAAGTTGGATGGATAAAGGAGTTTGGGCCATAATGCAGCTGATGGACAGTAAGGGTAAGTTTCTGCAGCATACTGAGTTCAAAATTAAGTATAATATAGACTGTTCTGTAGTGGAATACTCTAGAGTTATAAAGGCTATTTCTCCAGCTGTTGGCCAGATGGTCAGTCAAAGTATTCAATATGGAACAAATACACCTAAGCTTCCCAAATTATCTATAGGTGATTTGAGTTTTACAGACCGTAGATGTAATAACTCTTACCTAAGAGCAGTCTTGTCAAACAAGTTATTCCCTATTCCTGTCAGAAGGAAAGTTCTTTCTCCGATTTTCTCAATTATAGATACTAAAGTCATAAGAACAGAGTTTCTTTCTTACCCTCTTCTCCCCAAAATGAAGGAAGTTCACTTTAAAACGATTAATAATATATATCCATGTAAAGAATTTTTAAATATCAGATTTAATATACAAGATAATTTATGTGTCCTATGTAATAGTGAAATTGAAACTCAGAAACACCTATTCTATGATTGCAGATCGGTAAATACATTTTGGTTAGATTTATACAATTGGCTTTTATTCAAAAAGAGTTACAATATCCCCTTATTCACATATAATACTATTCAATTTGGGTGTATAGAAAAAAATAATCAGATTCAATTCGTTGTTAACAATTTGATAATTTTTGGGAAATGTTTTATTCACAAATGTCGTTTCATGAAAGTGAAGCCAAACTTTCCTTTTTTCCAAAACGATTTTATGCTATTTTGCAAATCTCTTAAAAAAGTAAAGTCTGTACAGGCTGCTACACTTGTCAGATTTAGTGAAGATCCTGTGAACTAAGGTCCTCTGCCTTTAAATATGTATTTTTATTATTGTGTTATTATTAGTAGTATTAATATTAATATTGTATTTATTTTATTTTTATTTCTTTATCGTGTCTTGTTAATCTTATAACTCCGGTTGTTTCTGCTGATTAGAATATTTCTAATGGTCTAGTTATAAGGTTTTGGGTTATCTACTGAATTGTTCTTTTTGTTTTTGTTGAGTTTTTGGTTGTTGTTACAATGTAATGTGATTGAGATTGATGTTCAATAAAAAAAAAAAACCTCCCGTATATCCTCGCTTAGCTAGCTAAATGGCTAACAAACTGAGAACAGATGCCTCAGTAGAACATGAACATTGGAACACGCCATTGTGGTTTCCTGATGACGTATCTCCTAGGCACCCTCAGCCTCCTATTGCTGAGCGGACGTTTTAGTGCAAAGGCGCCCTCTAGTGGCGGTTACATGTAAACATAAACCCAGTGTAGTGCCCGTCAAATTAAAAATTTTGTTTTATGTTTTTTTAGCATTTAAAGGGAAAACTGTACACTTATTTGGCACACCTCTACATGCCCTGTGGAGGAATTATATATATATATATATATATATATATATATATATATATATATATATATATATATATATATATATATATATATATATATATATATATTTTTTTTTTTTTGCTTTTTATTAAGATTCAAGATAGTTTTATTGTCACTGCACAGGTGTACAACGAAATTGACTTTGCGTTCATTAAAGACAGCTCATGAAAGGAGGTAGTAAAACATAAGTAAGATAACACAACAAGGCTGAAATAGAAGTCAGGCACTCTCTCTGCCTCACTCTCACTCTCTCTCTCTCTCTCTCTCTCTCACACACACACACACACACACACACACACACACACACACACACACACACACACACACACACACACACATCTTTCACTCACACAGCCTGTTTAAGGTGCAAAAAAACTAAATGTAAACATGGTAATAAAACAAATCTAAACTATAAAGTGAAATATAAAGTAAACATAAATAAAAATAATATAAATGTAAACAGTCACATGTTGAGGTATCAGGGTCAACTAGCTCATTGTAAAGGTGCTGTAGTGCAATGATTGTCCAACTTTAAACTGAGGAGCCATTGCACTGTAAGCCATTTGTTCTCTATTTACACAGGAGAGTGAGAAACTTAGTAACCCTACACAAAAAAGCAGTCCACAACTATTATTACACTACTACTGCTGCTGCTGCTGCTGCTGCTGCTGCTGCTACTACTACTTCTTCTACTACTACTACTACTACTACTACTACTACTACTACTAATAATAATAATAATAATAATAATATAAGGATGGACAACCAAAAACAGTATTGTTATTTTAATAATTTATGACATGTTATTAATCATATGTTCGTCATCATTTAAGTTTGCTTAACTTTTACACTGACTAGTTAAACTTACAATCAATTAAAATGCCAAATCAATAATATTTTATTGCCTATTTTTTGAGAAGCCCCTGAAATTGGGTTTAGAAAAAGATTTCCGATAGTTCATGAACGCAACATCAAGGAATTGCGCATGCGCAACCTTCTTAGCGACTGCCAGCCAGGCGCAAACGTCCTCTTCCGCCGCCATCCCTCATCCCGAACCAAACGGCAACAGAAACCGGCTATAAACATGAGTTTCTCAGTTGAAGAGAGGGGCAACCCCAACTCGCTGAGCTACCGCTTGTTCTTCAGTAAGTAATTATTATTTTAAAATTATACAAATATTTTCTTGCCAAAGTTTGAAATGAGGACTCTCCTTAGACAACGTCGCAGGCCAGTCGCAGTCTCCCACGTGTCACTGTAATTCATTTATTTTCTCTGGGGTCTTTTGTGTAAATAAATACGTGGATGCGTGTACTTGAGCTTTATTAACATCTTCACCAGAGTGAGCCTTATAAGTCGTTAATGAATTCTTTTTTCTTTGGCTAGATATCTAGAAATAATCGGATTTTATGTGGGTCTCCTCAGTCATTGTTATGGAACTTTGTAGAAGGAAGTTAGTTGGATATACCGGTATCTGGAAATCTCAAGGTGTTTACGTCATCTGTCATACCAGTTAAGTGAGACTACGCCCTCTGTGATCACAATCAGGTCATCATTTTTTGCATTTTGCCTGTAGGACAAAGTTTGCATTGATATTGTGTCGAGGCCACATAATATTGTGACGTTTTTATTATTAACTCATAATCAGGTTTAGAATATAGAGCTCCATTGCCATAAACCAAACTTCTGTCAGAATTTCTCAAAAATAAAAATAGGAATTTAGGTGAGTAAATAAAAATTTGGCTAAAATAATTAGATTAAGACGCACTGGACTCTTTATAGTATTTTATATCATCAGTTACACTAAATTAAAGCTTTAATCTGTTGGGATCTTTGGTGTGAAGTGAAAGTAAAGAGCCATGAACACCTGTGTCCTGTTTATTTTGACTACTCTACAGAAAATGCTGAGGGAAAGTACATTTCCCCATTCCATGACATCCCAATTTACGCTGATGAGAGCCAGGTATGGAATCTTTTACTAATATCTAAAAATGTGCATAACAGTAATTATTAATGATATTCTGTCAGTGCAGCGTTGCTGCCACAAACATAATTATTTTAATGCATTTATCAGCAACGATGGCATGAATCCACCTCAGATAAAGCAAGTTCAGAGTCTGTCTGCATGACAGTGACCTTTACCCTTTGCTTTCTCAATGCTGTGTCTATATCGCTCACAACTGCCGTATAATGGATTTTTACTAGGAAATATCAGGATGATTGGTTTTAATTTTCCATGTTCTCTGGATATAGATGAATACTTTGTTGAATTATTTTCCCGTCCCCCATAGAACATCTTTCACATGGTGGTTGAGGTGCCACGGTGGACTAATGCAAAAATGGAGGTAAGATTTTTATTTATTTTATCAATATGGCTTTCAGCTGTTCACTTTTATAAAACCCAGTTAATGAACCCGAACATTGGCTGGAAACCATAGTATGCAAAAACAAAGCTTTCATTAATATAATTCAGCATTTAAAGTTCATTTTTGAGGTCAACGTGCACGTGACTATTCAGCAGGGTACCCTGCAAAAAAGTGGGCAGCAAATCAGACTAATTTATCAACGTCTTTTCAGAGAGGCTCATACACCAGCTCAACCCATCCGGGTGTCAAAATATTCTTAGAAAGCACATTCACTCAGGTGTAGCACTTAATGACAGTCATGAGGAGGTACTTGAATTTTAAGTATTCTAATTTTTTCCACTTTTATTTACTATATCGACAAAGAGTTTTGTTCTGCTATTAATGTGAAAAGAGTGGTTTGAGTGGTCATCTATGTCCTTAACTCATTCACTGCCAATTATTTGCATTTTGTTACTGTGTGGGTATCGGAACGAGCCCCCGCACTGTGAGAACAAACCTCTCAGCTCTAAAGCCGATCTTCATCTGCATACGTTACATGTCACGTGATCAGGAAGCAGAACATCCATGTGTTAGATCGTTTTGGGTCGCTGCCGTAAAAAAAGTGAGGCGCAAACCGGAACAGCTTGTGCCGATCACAATTCAACAACGGATTACGAAATAACGGATAACGCTCAAAATGTGCAGATTCTTCCTCTTTGTTTTGGTAGTTTTGGCGTTGACATCATCAAAGAGCACAACGTTCTGTGACGCTTAAAAAAACTGACAACGCTGACAGCGAAGGGCTTTCTGATCAGGAAACGGCTGGCAGCGAATGAGTTAAGCACTTATGTATACATGTTCCTTCTTAACAGAGACTTGATAGTAAACATGTACATCATATGTGTTCAGATCGCTACAAAGGACCTCCTAAATCCAATAAAGCAAGATGTGAAGAAGGGCAAGTTGCGCTACGTTGCTAACGTTTTCCCACATAAAGGCTACATTTGGAACTATGGAGCAATTCCTCAGGTCAGTTTAGTGTGTGAGACATTTGTGATGCTTCCTAAAATCTGTCTAATTGAGTGTAATAGATGCAAATAATGAATGAATTCTGTTTGTGTGTTTCAGACGTGGGAAGATCCGGCTCATAAAGATGCAGACACCGACTGCTGCGGCGACAACGATCCCATTGATGTTTGTGAAATCGGTAGCCAGGTACACAAGTTCTGTTTTATCGCGTACATACTTTTATACATTAAAGTTGATTGATATATACATAATTTTCCTGCAACGTATTCCGACGGGTGACGTTTAGACATTTTGAGGGGCTGATGCATTTCATGGAGCAATTCACTAATCCGAAACATTTTTACTCAGTTTGCGGAAGCAGACCACATGGGTTCCTGATGCTCAAGATCGTTTTTTTTCCCAAACTTCCTTGGGTATTTGATGTGTAAACCAACAGTATACTAGTGTTGAGCCAATTCACCGTGACACGTGCTGATTCAAAATCGATTTGTGAAACATTTAAAAACAAATAGAAATAAATGCTGAAAAACAGTCACAAAGCGTGGCAGGAACATAAAAGTAGCACGTGCCGCCCGGACACTTTAGGGGACGGACCAGTGGAAAAAACAAAACAGCAGTGGTGGCAGCTTTTTTTCTCCGCTTCTGTCACTGAACGTGGGATTTATTCATAAGGGTTAAACAAACGTTGTGTGAAACTGAAATTAAATACAACAGCACTACAAAAAAGTTCCCATTCCGGGTTAGATGAAGAGAAGAAGCCGGTGGTTGTTCCTCCTAACCAGCCAGTGACTGAGGAAGGATTAATAAAATGTGCCCGCAACGCCAACGTGTTTCACAAAACAACGGCACCACTTTGCTGCAAGTGAAGGCGGCGTCGGGCAGCCTTGATCATTGATTAGTCGTCAGCCCTTTTGTCACTAAGGATTACACGATGGTGGTATAAAGTGGGTGTGGGGGCGATCTCCGTGCTGTCACGGACTTCCCCTTAGCTTGAGCGTTGCTTGATTTTTCTGCCGGTTGAAGCAACACTTAAGTTTTTTCACGAGCAGCCCCAAAAATCGTCCGTCCTTCACAGTCCAGCGTTAACTGGTGATCTGTGCTTCAGCTCCAACAGCCAGAAGATCCCCCATCTCTGCATCGCTCCCGTTTGCCATCTCCGCTGATTCTGTTCACAAAAGCAAAACTGAGTGCCCGTGTTTACTTGTTTTCATTATTCATGTTTATCCTGTAGATTTGATGCAAAAGCATGTTGGGAGTGTTCAGTCCTACATGAATAAGACAGTGGAGTAAAAGGCATTTAGGAACTTGAATTAATGTTTGCAGAATTAATTTAAAAGTATGTAAAATCTTTGTTTGTGGACATTAGACTTGATGGAAACTGTTCTATTGGAACAGTGTGGATATAAAAAGCCAGTTTTTGTTTGAGACATCTTTATTCTGTACACAAGATGAGGCATTAGACAATATTTTGAATTTATGAGTGGTTTTACGAAACGTTTACCGTGTTCTAAGTTATAGTTGTACAACTTTTGATTGAATTTGGCACGTATAATTAGAATCACAAGAATCCTAGCTTTCTTATGAGGTATAATATTTATATCGGGGGTCTCCGACATGTCGCTCGGTAGCTCGCGGCACACTTCTGGAAACAGCCAGCGAGCCATCCTGACTTGTAATTAACGTCCCCATTTTCTGTAATGTCTAATCTAAAATACATTTTGAGGAAGTAAAATAAAAGTCTTGGCAAATATGTTCTAGTGGAAATACATAGATTAATTGATCGGGTTGCACGGATCCTCGTTTCTGTCAACTTTGATCAGCGATTGCAGCTGCAGGTGGTTGAAGACGCTCTTCTAAAGAGATTGGGGTGATGTCGGTTATACAGACCTGGTTTCAAAGAAACATCCTCAGTAAAATAATCTGGGGGATAGTGAAGTCCTATCTGCTGTAACAGCTCATTAACGCAAATTAAATGCTGTTAATTTATGAACACATGATGAACAAAGGCTTCCAATCTCTGGACATCTTTTCTGATTTAGTTTCAACAAATTTCCCTCAACAGTTTCAACTGATTGTCCCATTTAGTAATAAAACGTGATTGTGAACGCTCTCTGTCTGTGTTGCGTACAGCCGCCAGGCCCACAGAGAAAAAAACACACCACACCTATAACTAAACCTCCAACCTTAAATGCAGCAAAGCATAATTTACCTGCAGGCATTCAATAGTGAAGCAAAACTTCACTTTCATGAGCAAAACCCCAGAAATAATGATTAAATAAATCAGGAAGAAATGTTATTCTGTTTTTACATTCTTCACCTCAATTCACACAACTTAGAAATTTGTATTTCATCACATTTAGCTTTTATTTTATTTTATTTTTTTTATTAAAAACACCTTCACCTTTATTCGTTTTATGAGAAAAATTTGTTTTGCATTGTTTGGAACAATTACTTGAAAGATTTAGTTTTAAAATGCCATTTAAAGAACATTAAATCTACTTTAAAAGGAATTAAATAGTTTTTTTTAAGTATTTGTTCATTTATGACAAAGCTGAACACAATGAAAAACTGACATTGCTGCTTAGGCTCTGGGCACAGGGTCAGGGACTGACCAGGAACAGCTTAACTGCTCCTGTGTGCTCAAAAAGTTATCTTACTGATCCATCTTAAAAAAAAAGGTCAATCATTCACATGAAGCAGATTTATATTTCATTATCTGACAGTATCTGATTAGTTTATAAACAAAATGGTTTGTTTAGTTTGATGTTCAGAATGTTACTACATTCCTGGTACTTTTTTATAATATTGATGTATTGAAATACAGAGAAATCAACTTGTGAATACAATGCATGTTAATACAGTAAGTATAGCATTTTTAACTAAAGCATATTCACACATGGAAAGTATCAATGTAATCAATGGTATGGCAATAGCTCCGGTGTGTAAAGGTAGCTCATGGGCCAAAAAAGTTCGGAGACCCCTGATTTATATGTATGTAGAAAGAATAATGCAAAAAAAAATGATTTGATGTGGGAGTTCCAGACTCACTCAAAGGGAATAAAAACTTGCTCTGAAAAAATGAATTGGCGAAGAGCAATCGCCGATGTTCGATACATTTGTCCAGTTGCCGATCTTTAACATATTCTAATTCTGTTTTTGGTTATTTTTTAAAACACAGAAAAGATTTTTTTTAACCTTTCTGACAGTTTCGTTTGCCGGCTGCAAACTTGCTCAGAGCTGACGCTGATGGTGGCGTCACTTCCTACTCTGTTTATCTGCGGGCAGCAAAGGTCGTTGTCGCCCACTGCTGCCCGCTCTACCCTCTCCGATGATGCAGTCCCATGCGCGATCCAATGTGTAGACCCCATCGTCTCTGTTTATGGTCCCACATCCATGTCTTCTTATCTCTATTGCTTCCTCTATCCATCTTTTGTATTTCTGTTGTTCAGTCCTAATAGGACTAGTAGCTAACTCCACGTACTTCACATACGATAACACAATATACAAACAACTGGAAGGCTTCGCCATGTGTAACCCGTTATCAGCCACCCTATGCGAGTTTTTCATGGAAGACCTAGAACAAAAAGCCATACCCACTGCCACTCCCCCCCAAACTGCAAAATAAAGTGGAAACGCTACGCAGATGAACAGAAACACTAACACAACGCTTGAATAACATTGACGACACAGGCAACATAAAGTTCACTTATGAGTCAGAAACAGAAGGCAGCATAGCATTTATGGACATGAAAATCACCAGGCAGACCGACGGGACCCTAAACATAAACACATACAGGAAACCAACACACACAGACCAATTTCTATTATGGACATCAGAACACCCCACCATACACAAAATGTCAGTAATCAGAACATTATATCACCAAACAAACATGATAACAGAAGAAAAAGACCGAAAACAAGAAGACAAACACATACAACACGCTTTAAACACCTGCGGATACCCGACATGGGCAATAAACAAAGGAAAACAACAAACAACAACAGAAAGCAAAGAACAACCAAAGCCAAGAACCAGAAATCCAAAAAGACAAGAACCAAAACCAGTGATAACCTTACCATACATCAAAGGCATAACAGAAAGAAATAAGAGCAACAATGAAAAAACACAACAAACACACCAACAAAACTATACACAACAGTTAGAAACAGACTAGTACACCCAAAAGACAAGATACCAGCTGGACTTAAATGTGGAGTCGTTTACGAAATCCCATGGAAACTCTGCAATAAATCATACATAGGAGAAACCGGACGCCAACTCAACACACGAACAATAGAACATAGAAAGGAGTGCGAGAAAGAGGCATGTCGAAGACACACAAGAGCAGCAAAAGAAGAAGCAGAAAGCACAATAAAGAAGTCAGCCGTAACAGATCACTGCATAAGAGAAAACCATATAATGGACTGGGACAACACACGGATCATAACCACCGAACAACAAAAATACAAAAGATGGATAAAAGAAGCTATCGAGATAAGGAGACGTGGATGTGGGACCATGAACAGAGACGATGGAGTTTACATGTTGGACCGCGCATGGGACTGCATCGTCGGAGAGGGGAGAGCGGGCAGCAGAGGGCGACAACGTCCTCTGCTGCCCACGGAAAAACGGAGAAGGAAGTGGCGCCACCATCAGCGTCAGCTCTGAGGATGTTTTGCAGTCGGCAAACAAAACTGTCAGCAAGGTAAAAAAATAACCTTTTCTGTGTTTTAAAAAAGAACCGAAAATGGAATTAGAAATCAGACACAGCAAGAACGTACCAAAGATGTTTAACAAACTCTATTGAGTGTATAATATGACAGTGGTTTCTTCTCTTAAGGTGTGCTCTCGTGGAGAGGTCATCAAGGTGAAGGTTCTTGGTATTCTGGCCATGATTGATGAGGGTGAGACGGATTGGAAAGTGATCGCAATCAATGTAGACGACCCTGAAGCCAGTGAAATGAATGGTAAGTGTGCATGTTTGCTCCTTTTGCCTACATCTTCACTCCTGCATCAGTTATATCACCTGTATGCTTTGTTGTTCCCATCGTTTTCAGACATCAGTGATGTCAAGCGCCTGAAACCTGGTTTCCTGGAAGCCACAGTTGATTGGTTCAGGAGGTACAAAGTGCCAGATGGGAAACCAGAGAACCGCTTTGCCTTCAGCGAGGAGTTTAAAGACAAGGTTTGTCCTCCCAAAACACCGTATTTAACATTTTGAGCACCTGCAAACATGTTTTATTATTTGAAAAGACCTAATCAAAGTCTTGTGGTAAATTAGGCCTTTTTAAAATCAAAGGATTATCTTCCAGTTAGTTTAAAAACTTTACGTAAACTGAAGCAACCATTATTTTATATTTCAGAACTTTGCCATCGACGTTATCAAGAGCACTCACAGCTTCTGGAAAGCGCTTATCTGCCAGCAAACTAAATCTGGAGAACTCAGCTGGTAAAACCTGCTAGCTCTTTAAAAAGAGTTGCGCTCAAATTTGGTAATATGTTAATAACAGCTGTCCTAATATAAATGTCTACAAACAGCAAAAACACGTGCATCTCGGCTGGGGACAGCCCGTACTGCTGCTCCGCAGATGAGGCACAAGCCGCTGTGTGTGAGGTAAGTTTCCTCACATTCCTTAAGCAACACATGAAGTTTCACCACCAGTCATCTCCAGCTAACTTTTCACTCTCGTTTTTAGATGTGTCCTTGTGGAAAAGAAGAGCCTATTCCTTCATCAGGTAGAATTTTTAAATATTCCTGTTAGAAAGATAAAGATTAAAAAAGTCTTCCTAAATAATAATTATATTTAAATATACTATCGTTTTTCAGTTGATAAATGGTTCTACTATGAGAAGAAGTAATCCGGCTGACTGACCAGAAGAAAAAAAAAACTCACCCGTGGCAGAAAAACTTGAAGATGACCTTTCTGAACCAACTGGGTGCCATGGTGGTGGAATCTGTGTCGTCTCTTCTGTAGATAGCGGTTAAAAACTGTATAGAGGAGTCATTGTGTTCTCATGTCACTACCAACGTATTTTCCAGTTATTTAACAAAGATCTCTTTTTAGAGATGTGCTGTCAAACAAGGTACAGGTGCTGTCTCAGAAACTTGTGCTGTATGACACTGAGCTGCTTTATTAAAGCTTCTCTAATTAAATTATTATCAAAGTGTGGTTTTAATGAGTGGAGAGGTGCTGGGGATAAATATTTATCATGTAACGGTGCCACCTAGTGCTTATTTTTCTTCTTTGAAAGATGTTGGGCTTACTGATTTTAATCTTCTGAAAATTAAAATATGTTTACGTGTTTTTTGCTGAACATAAGTCTTTCAGATATTTTGTTCTTATTGAGTTAAAGTTATATTAAAGTTGTTTTTAATTTAAAAAACTGACATTTATCATACTTACTTTTGAGGGAATGAATTAATATATTTGCCACTACTGTATAAAAGACACAGAAATTTCCCCGGCTTTAATCAGTTGAAATTAAGGTTATAAAAACCAGCCTTACAACATAATTATAAATATTTTAATTTGGTTAAAATATTCGATCGACAGGGTTTAATATTTGGAAATTAAATACAAATTGGTACAGAAATGTAAAAAAAACAATCACATAAATCTAATTTCATATAATATATTTACGAATGTAAAAAAAAGCTAATTTAAAAATAGACGTGAACAAATATAAGCTAGCCACGAAAATCTAGTTAAAAAAGGCAGTAAATGTCAATGAAAATAAATTTGTGAAAAGTTTTCTCAAAATTTGAAAAATAAATGTTAGCAAAAATAAAACCATGACAGTGACGTACTTCCGGTTAACTGTCAGACGGCTTCAGGGCAGTAGCGGAACAGCGTTGGACTAAAACCTAACACACAGTCCCAAACTCGGCAGACCAAGGTAAGGAATCCTGTCAAATAGTCGAGCTCTGATAGTTTCCATTTTTACTTGCGTAAGAGTTGTTCTTAGAGAATTATCTGGGTAAACTGGGTAATTCTGGACCCCTCTGCCCACTTTTGTTTATAACTGTTAACCGAAGTTCTCCCCGTTAGCTAACGTTACCGTAAGAGTTGGCGTCTCTCCTGGGAAAGTCACCGCACAGCTTTCTAGTTTATATTTTTTGGATTTTTTTCATACATCAGGAATATAAATAATATTGACGTAAGCTAACGGAGCGACCTTTATTGGGATTAGCAGCACCCATGATGCTGCTGTGTGTTGTGATCTGTAAGAGGAGCAACGTCATCTGGGTCGTTTCTAGAAGCCGTAGACACTAAAAAGAGCTTATGTTCACTGCTGAACATTGAGTTCACTCAAGAGTGGCGTGTGTGTGTGTGTGTGTGTGTGTGTGTGTGTGTGTGTGTGTGTGTGTGTGGGTGCGTGCGTGCGTGCGTGCGTGTGTGTGTGTGTGTGTCCATGAGATAGAGGCAGGGGTGACGGCTGAGATCAAGTGTCCTTCTCACAAGTTGTCATAAAAATAGTCAGAGGCAGATCAGTGTTCCCGAGTCAGGCTTCGCTCTTGTTACTCAGCTTTGCTCCCGTTTTCCTTCCTGATTTAAAACTTGTGTGATTACACACAGATTACACATACCAGCAGAGTAATCCAGATCTGGGAATAACCATGAACAAGTAGCCTCTTTGTGGGATTCTGTAACACAAAAGTGTCCCGATTTTTACTTTTTGGAACTTAATTTTTATTTTTGCTTTTGTGTACATGAGTGAAAATCTCTTTGTTTATTTAAAATATGTATTTGGTATTTCTTTTTTTTAATTTCAGATTGAAAATGTCTTTTATTTTTGGTTGGATCTACAAGAGCTTCAGCAGCGTCCTGCAGTTGTTAGGTATATATTACAGATGTGTGTTTTGTTTACAAAGAGTTTTGGCATGCTAACATTTAATTTGTTATGGAGAACTTTATCCCATTAGTTAGAATTTTATTTTTCCTATCAGGGTTGTACAAAAAGAGTGGGAAGCTGGTTTTCCTAGGACTAGACAATGCTGGAAAAACAACGCTCCTGCAGATGCTCAGAGACGACCGGCTTGGACAGCATATGCCGACACTATACCCAAGTACACTGATCAGTTTGACTATGACACAACCTGATTTAGGTTTGGTGGTTTTATCTCTTGTCTAATGACCTCCTTTCTGGCTGCAGCTTCTGAAGAGTTGACCATAGCTGGCATGACATTCACCACCTTTGACCTCGGAGGTCATACACAAGGTGTGAGCACAGAATGAACATAAATCAGTGTCTATTGCGTAGAAAAGTTGCACTGATGCATTTGCAGGGTGTGTAATTCCCTCACAGCACGAAGGATCTGGAAGAATTACTTCCCAGCCATAAATGGTATTGTCTTCATGGTGGACTGTGCAGATCATGAGCGACTAGCAGAAGCTAAAGCTGAACTAGATGTAGGTCAACTGTAGTGCTTTTATTTTTACACATTTCCTTTTGTCTCTTACTGTTTGAATTTATTTTTTATTTAACTATCGTGATTAGGCCCTGCTAACAGATGAAACCATCGCTAACATCCCAGTTCTTATCCTGGGCAATAAAATCGACCGTCCAGAGGCCATCAGCGAGGATGCTCTCAGGGGGATATTTGGTCTGCATGGACACACAACTGGAAAGGTAACGGACACGGGAGTGACAGGGGCTTTGGTTGGTTGAGGAATGCATTTATTGTGCCCATCTGTGTGGTCTCAGATAAAACCAAGTTAAAATGGGAAATTTGCAGAGGAGAATCCACCTCCAGAAAGTGATGCTACCACGCTATATTTTAATCTGTTTGCATCTGGAGTATATAGGAGATATCATGAAGATATTGATGCATATTTTAATTACAATTTTATATATTTTAATCAGTGATCCATGCAAATTAAAATTACTAATAAAGCCACTCAATTTGTCTTGTTTGTGAGCCATAAGGTTAAGATTTTTATTTTATGCACGTATCTATGTGCACACGCATCACGCATAGGGCACTGAGTGGCCGAGGGGCACCAAGTTATCAGGCGTATTAAAAACAGATTATATTAATTATAAGATCAGATACTGGACACCATGCACACACACAACACTGAGGGAGTCATTTAACTGTTGTTATTCACACACAGAATGCCATCTGTCTAATCCAAGTTGACGTGCTTCTCTCTGCTCTGGCTGTGAGTTGGGCGGATCAGTGCCCTTCACCTGCTGCTGATGAATGAATTAATGAATGAATGATGTCTGTGGATGTAAATTCTAATAATCATTTGAAATATTATTCAACAATTGGGAAACAATGCTCAAACAATCTACATGTGTTTTGTGGATTTGGAGAAGGCGTTCGACCGCATCCCTCGGGGTGCCCTGTAGGGGGTGCTCTGATACGGCTGTTAGGTCCCTGTATGACTGGTGTCAGAGCTTGGTCCGCATTGCCGGCAGTAAGTTGAGCTTGTTTCCAGTGAGAGTTGGACTCCGCCAAGGCTGCCCTTTGTCACCGATTCTGTTCATAACCTTTATGGGCAGGATTTCTAGGCGCAACCAAGGTGTGGAGGAGATTTGTTTTAGTGGCTTGAGGATCAAGTCTTTGCTTTTTGTTGATGATGTGGTCCTGTTGACTTCTTCAGAACGTGATCTCTGGCTCTCATTGGAATGGTTCGCAGCCAAGTGTGAAGCAGCTGGGATGAGAATCAGCTCCTCTAATCCAAGCCCATGGTAGTGAGTCAGAAAAGAGTAGAATGTCTTCTCCAGGTCAGGGATGAGGTCCTGCCCCAAGTGGAGGAGGGTCCTGTATCGCTGGGTCTTGTTCACGAGTGAGGGAAAGATGGAGCATGACATCGATAGGCGGGTTGGTGCTCTATCTGCAGTGATGCGGGCGTTGTACCGTTCTGTTGTGTTGAAGAGAGAGTTGAGCCAGAAGGTAATGCCCTCGATTTACCGGCCATCTATGTTCCTACCCTCACCTATGGTCACGAGCTTTGGGTAGTGACCGACAGAATGAGATTGCAGATACAAGTGGCTGAAATGAGTTTTTTCCACAGAGTGGCTGGGCTCTCCTTTAGAGATAGGGTGAGAAGCTCGGTTATCCAGGAGGGGCTTGGAATAGACCTGCTGCTCCTCCACATCGAGGGGAGCCAGTTGAGGTGGTTCAGGCATCTGGTCAGGTTGCCTCCTGGACATCTCCCTGGTGAGGTTTCCTGGGCACGTCCAAACCGGGAGATGACCTAAAGGAAGACCCAGGACACGCTGGAGAGACTATGTCTCACGGCTGGCCAGGGAACGCCTTAGGATTCCTCCGGAGGAGCGGGCCCAAGTAGGTGGGGAAAAGGAAGTCTGGGCCTCCCTGCTTAGGCTACTGTCTTCACAACCCGACCCCAGATAAACGGATGAAAATGAATGGATGAATTGGAAACCATATGTTTATTTTTTTCTCCAGAAAATTCCAAATGAAACCCAACTTGAGACATCTTACTCTGTTTCTGTAGGAAATGATGCTGGAATTTGTGATTTATTGTTTTTGTTTCTCTTCAGGGCACAGTATCGCTGAAAGAGCTCAATTTGAGGCCGATGGAGGTTTTCATGTGCAGTGTGCTGAAGAGACAAGGATACGGAGACGGTTTCCGCTGGCTCTCCCAATACATCGACTGATTCTCGTTCTCTTTAATATCCGTGATCCGACTCAGCGTGCTGCTGCAGCCTATGCACACGAAACATTCAACACAAAACTACCTGCAGCAGAAATGTTTTCATTTACTATTTCTAGTACTGTAACTTCCCAAAAAATATTTAAAGTGTTTTGTTTTATTATACTATATATTTTAATTATTATGGTATAAAACTTGTAGGGAATTCTGTTTGCCAGATGCAACGTGCTGCTGTGAATCGGTTTCAGACTTGGTCGTATATTTGATAGTTAACAATGTTCCACCTGGCATAAAAATAGTACATTTAACTTTTAAAATAAAAATGTAATGTTAAAAATAGTTTTATTCTGGAAATTGCTGCAGAAAATTTTCATCTCATGTTGAAGTGCCACCTCTATTGGTTGTTTTTAATGAAAGGTTTACCACAAGTGCATTAACTTATTGCCATGAGGAGATTTATTTTACATTACTGATGCAGTGCCACTTAAGCATTGCCAAGTAAATTAAGAAAGCCATTGTTTACTGCAGAGGAAGCAAAATGATTATCTGTGCTCATGATGCTTTGAAAGAACTCGCGTACTTTGTGATTACTTACTGCTCAGTACATGCAGTAATATTAGGAGAGTACTTGGGTTGTGCTTAAAAATAGAAATGCAAGCATTTGCTATAAAATGCAGTGTGATAATATACATTATTCTGTGTTGAAGTTTTATTTATGTTTTGGAAGAAAAAAGCTTAAGTTATTTACAGAAAGTTGTTAGATATTAAGTCAAATTTCTGTTACAAAAGATACATAATTCTTTTTTGACAGTTAAAGATTAATAAATATTTTTGACAATCATTTTAAGTGTTTGAGTAATTTTTATTGATCCATTGTTATAAACACTGGCTTTAGACTAAGAGAGAAAGAGAATAAAAGGATCTTTTATATAGCTCAAATGTAAAATAAAAGTACTTTTTAAATGTCAGACAGTTTATGATGGACCATTTATACACTTTCTATCTCGTTAATAGTTTTACTTTTTTTTAATCCTGTTACTTTAAAAATGTTTAAATCAATTTCTTATGGAATTTGTATCATTGTATTGAATGCTGATCTTTTTTGGAGTCATTTGACAGAGCTTCTTTTTTTAATGTTTTCTGTTACAGTTTTAAATAATTACATTGATCATCTGGATTATACAAAGGTAATTGGTGGTAATAGATTAAAACTAAGCTCTTTTAACAAACAATTTTACTTTGTCATTTATGTCATCTCACTTTAACCTCAGAATACTGTCACTATACCAAGATGTTTTGGACCACTTCACTATAACTGAAAATGTAAGCTGTACTGTAAATAAACAATTTCTTACATCGGATATATTTAACATTTAGATTTTTAATTTACAACAAAATGGTAGTGAAATGCAAGTTATTGTCATCAGCCATCCATCCATTGTCTGAACGTCTGAACCATAGGTCTGAACCCGCTTTGTCGCGGGGGTGGGGGCAGAGAGCCAGTCCACAGCAGGTTATTGTCATTACAATCTAAACAATTGTACAGAGCAATCAAGATCCGCTAAAAATAAAGATCAGATTAAAATATTGTCAATAACTGTTTCTAATTTAGTATCTAATTAATAGTTTTTTTTTTTATAATAAATCAGTGGAGGGTCAGATTCAGCTTTTGAAATTATTTGTCAAACTGTGAATGCCACCCGTTTTGGAAACTCTGTGCAACAAAACAAGCGTCTACATTTTATACTCGTTAATTACTGGCTCAGAAAGCTCCCTCTCTGACCAATGGCGTGAAAGTATGAGTCGTAACCCGGAAGTCAGGGGAAATCTAGCAAACAACCCCAAAAGATAATTATTTTTTGATTATTTTACTGTATAAACATGAATTCCCTGTTGTATTTTTACATCGTATGGGTTCTTTTTAAAACTCTAGTTGGTAGCTTTTTAAATGTTGTTTAATATTTTGTTCGTTTTTCACGTTCTCGACCCTAACGTATTTTGCAATGGAGTTGAAAGACGCGGAGAAGCATTGCTGTGCAGTTAAAATCTCAGGGGGGTCTTCATCAAATAAACCCACCAGCTGCAGCGGTGTCATCGTCCACCCTCAGACTGGAACCGTAATTTGCACCGGACTCCCGTTTTCACGGTTTATCACCGACGGAGCACCCCTCTCTTCGGACACCGGTGTTCTGTTTCCACGAAGCTTCAGCGACAAACTTAAAATCCGCGTCATCTTTCCAACTTCTCTGGGTCATTCCTCGACACGGAACCCGCAGGTTGAGGCTTTCGTTGGTCCCAGTAACATAACAGGTCAGCAGCAGGAGGTTTCAGCAGAGCTACGGATGCTGGTGAACTGTGTAGAGTTCAAACAAGCTTTCCTGGATGTTTTTATGGATGCTGACCAGTGGAGTTTCCATGGTGACGAGGAGGATGGTGAGATGCACAGAGATGCTCGGTTTCTTAGCTGGTTCGCTGTGCTCAAGGCAGGTGTTTTGTCGGATTCAGGGACCATCCCTTGGCAGAGCAGCTCCTCTTTTCACAAAGGCCACCCAGTTGTTGCATGTGGCTCTCCTTTCGGCTCACTCTGCTTAGATCTGTTCATCAGCACCCTCAGCAGAGGAATCATCAGTAATCTGTCTGGAGAAGACAATGCAGTCATCCTCACAGATGCCCGCTGCCTGCCAGGCACAGAGGGTGGAGGGTTGTTTGTCGTGGAAGACACTGACTGTGTGCGTCTCATTGGACTCATTGTGTCTCCATTTGGCTGGAAGGCAAATGAGTGGATAGGCCTCACTCTTGTCTGCTCGGCTCACCTGATCTTCACCAACATCAGCCGTAGTACCAGTGTTCAAGATCCGCTCTGTGATGTTTGGCTCCTCCCGGAAGATAAGCTCCACATCTCCACAGCAGCTCACGAGTCAGAAGCTGTGAAATACCCCACTGTGTGCCTTGTGGACAGTGGACACGTGTGGGGCTCGGGGGTTGCCGTAAGCTCCAAACTGGTTGTGACATGTCGACATGTAGTCAGGGGGAAGACGTCAGTCACCCTGAAGTTCCACCACAGGGGAAGGTGATAAAACTTTTACTATTTTAAAGACTCTGGTCACTGTTGGGTCACATGGAGGGATGTGTAAAGTAAAGAATATAAATCAGTCAAAATGTGTTTATCAAGCAGTCAGACTTGAGCAGGAATGTAGCACAAATGGTACCATCTCTCATAAACATCCACAAAGCAATAAAGAAATATGAAAGACAAAAAAAAAGAAGGAAAACAAAAAAAATTAGATGAAAAATGGAAAAATACATTCCAATGGGAAACATTAAATCTAATTTAATGAAAAAGGTTGAACATAAAACTTTTACTTTTGTGATTTCTGGTTGCAGAGTCTGTGAAACCGCAGGTGATGTCCTGTTCTCCACTAAACCATCTTCACCCTATGATCTGGCTTTTGTTCAGCTGACGGTCCCTTTTCCAGATGCTGTTATCCCTCGAATGTCTCAGAGCTTCACTCCAGGTTTTGCTTCAGATTTAGAGAAGTGTAGTGTTTGTTTATATGTTTAAACCACAGTGATTTTTGTTCAACCGACTTCAGGTGAAGCTGTGGTTGTAGTGGGGTACGGTGGGCTGGGTCGAGCCTGCGGTCCATCCCTGACATGTGGTGTGCTCTCCAAAGCCATTAGCTTGAACCACCAACCTGTGATGCTCCAGACCACATGTGCAGTCCAAGCAGGAGCCAGCGGGGGTGCCGTGGTGCAGAAACATTCTGGAGAACTCATGGGTAAGAATCTTTACTCCTACATATACTTCTCTTGAACAGTGGGGGGCACATGTTAACCACAAGAAAACATCATTCTGGAACACATACAGTTATTTGCTGTGTTGCAGGAATTGTCTCCAGCAACACAAGGGACCTGGCCACAAGAGCGACTTATCCACACCTCAACTTCATCATACCAGTGACCGTTTTCCAAAGGTTGTTGCAGGAATTTCACCAGAGAAGGAATACAGATGTATTCAGAGAGCTGAACACCACAGAGAAGGGAGTCAAATGGGTTTGGAGGCTACAAGATGCACAAAGTAAACTGTGACTCAGGGTTAATGAGTTTTTAAATAAAAATCAATAATTTAACTAAGAAAAAGAAGATTTTTCTCAGGATCAATTTTTCAAAATATGTGTTTTCTTCAATTCAACAAATGTTTCTATTATGAGTTTTTTTTCATCAACCCACAATAATGTGATGCATTCTCATTAACAACCCTGGTAAGTTAACTGTTTAATTGCACTTTATTGTAATTAAAATAAAAGAATTCTACCAAATTGTACTAATTTTGTTTATACACACATAAATTTACAATGTAAAGCCACTATGATTGTGACAAATAAGACAACAGGTGGAGCACAGAGCTAAAGAACCGCCTTGGATCATTTTAATTGCTCCTAAGTATTTGATCCCTACTTATTTTACAGTTACAGCATCAAGGACACTATTTCTGTAGGCCTGTGACAGGATTTAAATCTGAGCATATAGAGTGTTTCTAACAAGCAGCGGGACTGTTCAGCATAACAAGCTGACAGGTTGCTGAAAATGATTGGTCCCTCTGGGTAGCTGGTGTGTGTGTGTGTGTATCAGGTACTCAGACATCTGCTGCCAGGAATACCCACTCGCTGCAAACACATTTGAGGCTTCGCCCAAAGGGACGTACTGGTTCTCATTTCCATTATCACAGAAATGTAAAACTGAGATGACATTTCAAATGACTGGTTACTGTCGATTTTTGCGTTGCAAAGACAATTTTTCTCAGCCTGTACTTCTAAAGATATGCAAACACTGAAGCATGCTGGGAGGTTTGTGTTTCATGGTTCCCAGAGTTTACAGAGTGAGGATCAAGGTATGTCCTAAGGAGGCAGAGGAAGAGGTTTCTGTGCTCTAAGTGTTGAAATGCAGACGGGGGGCTCTGTATCCCATTTCTGGTGGTTTTCCATGAGCCACACTTCACTTGTAAAAAGGTAAAGCAAGAAGAGAAGTCAACGAGGTTTGTATCAACACCATTGCACACAATTATAGTCATATAAATTCTTATTTTTCAGCTTGATTGAAAATAAAACACATTACTGTCACTGTCAACTTTCTAACTTAAAAGGGAGACACTAGAAAACTGACCTTTTGCATCTTTGGTGCTGTCATGTGGGTCTCTACTACCTCTATAAACACTCCAAACATGGAGGAATCCATCCATCCATTTTCTGTAAGTGTTTGGTTTTAGAAATTTAGAGATTATTTTTAAAAGTCCCCATTTATGATATCACAATAAGGGAATTAGCACAGAACTACCTCTTACCTCTCCAGGCTGGAGGAGCAGCGGCTCTCCTCCAAGCCCCTCCCAGATATTAAAGATACTCAGCTAATATGGTCTCTAATCCACTCATAAAAATGATACAATCCAGTTTATTGACTGCGGGTCAACTAGCAGCAGGATTTTAAGATGCAGTGTGTTTGAAAACCGGACATCCACCCTATATATAAAAAATAACTATTTGGCTGATTTTATTTAAAATCTTTGTCTTTTTTTCTCATAGTCCCACACAAAAATGAGTCCAGAAGTATTTAAGTGATTTGAAAAAAATAAATAAATAAAAAAGTCAGATTATGAAACAGCATGCTGAACAGCTGGATGCTTACTAAGTTCCTAACGTTTGGGCTGTTTCGGATGCTCTGATGTAAAATTCAGGTAAAAGAATAAAACTTCAAAGTAAGGTTTATTATGTGTAGCTCCAGCTACAATGAGGTCCAGCCCCCTCTGTTTTAACCGTCTCAGGCTCAAAATAAGTTTTGATAAAAGGACGAACAACTAAGTCCTTCAGGGGTACTTCTGAGTTAAAAAATGCTCATGAAATACGTATGTGGAGTCACCAGGTAGGTTTTAACGTTGCAAATCTGCAACGCCTGCCTCCGTGATTCAGAGCGTTCACTTGGTCCTGATGAGAGTAAAACTGATGTAGGACTTCTGCTGTATGACTTTGATGTGAGTAGGAATTATTATAGTATTCAGCTTCTGCATGAGTGTTTTCTCCTCTGATTTATTGTTTCTTCATATTCTCATTAGTGATAACACAAAATAAGAATAAAACATCTCTGTGAAGTTAAAGGTATTTGTTTCATTCTTACAGGCTTGCAGCTGTTTGGTTCAAACCATTTTCTGTGTGTTTCAAGTGACTCCAGTAAATTAACCAAACTCTATTTGATTTTACTCTCTGCCCAACTTATTCTTTACTAAAACAATCAGCTAAAATCTGGCATGTAACAAAAAAGGAAAAAATGCTCAGACTCAGATGAACTGTGGCCAGCCGAGCCACATAGATACGTTTATTTCATTATATTTTTTTATTAAACACAGTAACTGATCCACGTTATGATACGATGTACACTTGTTAGCTAAGCAGTATAATCTGCCAGTCTTTCAAGGCATTGACTAGTAGGTGACATTCTGTCTTCTGACACACATTATTTACAAGCTAAGGAGTGACGTGGGAGAAGCTTCTTTATAAGTCATGAATGAGACAGAGCACTACTGTCACATATGGGTCAAAGCCAATGACACAGAGACAATAAAGTCAACAGGTGCTTCTTTATAGTCTAATGCTGCAATTTTCAGTTTAAAACCAAAACTGGTTCCTGACACGTGAAAGATACCAATCGAGATGACTGGAATGCACCCAAACCAGCTTTTTTATACAAGCAACAGCAGCTCTTATTCTCCATTATGCATCAGCTAAAAAACAGCTCAGAGATAGTTGAAACGACATACAACAAAAGTGAACAGATTCACAAGTAGAAAGGACAAAACTCCAGAACACCTCCCCTTTCCCGCGCCCAAATTAAGAACATCCTGTAATAATAAATATTCCCTTCTTCCCAAACTATTCCCAATTCTCCCTCGTGTTTTTCTGAGTCGAAGTTGTGTGAAAGTTGTCATCACATCCACCCCCTGCATTGTGTGTGTGTGTGTTTGGGACCATTGAGAGGCTCCTGTAGAGAGGTTGGATTTGGCCCCTTACCAGATATAACCCCCATCATCCACTTCTCCCACCTCCCCCTCTTCTTCCTCAGCCTCCTCTGCAGTCTCCTCACCTTCTTTCTCCTCCTCATCCTCCCACTCGACCCCACTGCCAAAATCTCCTGAATATGTCATTTCAGAATCTGCCAAAGAGACAGAGAACACATGCAGAGAAATGACATTTATTTGCTGCGGCTGTCTTGAACTTCCCTTTGTTTATCCGGTGAGATTTATCTCTAAACACTGATGTGGTGATAAAAATTTTTAAAAATAAATCGATAAAAGTGAGGACATGTGTTTGACTTTGTCTGGGTTTTAATAGCTATTCCTAAACCTTGCCAGGGGAACCATTCTTATCAGGCGAGGGGTTCAGTCCAACTAGCCTCCATTTATCTTGAAAGTCTTTTCTCACAGCGACAAGCAGCACTTTAGAATGCAAATGACTCTGGACACACGAATGTGGCACTGGTCCCTGAAGAAAGCTATGCTGCAATGGGCCCCAGTCTTTTCATATAAAGAAACCCTCGTGCAGAATGCTTATGAGGTTGCAGCGAAGACGCCGTTAGTATGAATTATTATGCAATTTGCTGGGTTCCTTATATAAGAAACATTTTTTCTGATTGGCTTATTGAACTGACCTGGATTGGAATTTTTATTATGTGAAGTGCCTTGAGACGACTCTTGTCGTGATTTGGCGCTATATAAATAAAATTGAATTGAATTGAATATTTTGATCCATTTCTCTAAAATTCTGCTTCACTGATCACATCTTACCACAATCTGGCTTCCCACGAGTCCTAGATCCAGCTACTTCTCCTCCGTTTTTGTCAACGCACCAGCACTTGCCCTGGTCGCACTGCTGCTTCCTGTAGTAGCCGTCTTCGTTGCAGCTGGGGATGAATCGACCTGGCAAATTCACACAGTTAAATAAATCAGCTGTGGAAAAGCCGCATTACCTTACAAACCACATTATCTCCTAACTCATAATGGAAACAACACATAAAGAGACCTTACAAATCATCTGTCATCACATATTGTACATAGCCCAGTTGAGAATGTAATGCACAGAGCATATGTAGCAGCCATTTCCATATTCTATGAATACAAATGTGCTTTCGGGGTAAGATGCAGAGGCTTAAAGAATAGTTTGTGTAAAACGGATGCAAATAGCCTCCAGTTTACAAGCTGAAGACAATGTGAATGTGTCCTAAATGTGTAGGCAATCTCAGAGTCGTCAGGGGCAATAATTGCATTCACATAGGGGAAGTCCGCATGCATAAGTCAACTAGAAAATGTTTAATTTGTTTCTGATATTAAAACAATTCAGTCTCCCAATTACCAGTTTAATGTCTTATTATACAGTTTGGTGCTTATTTAGTAACTTATGAGCCGATTCGAAATAGAAATTATAGGTGCAGAGCTAAGCTTCAATTCATTTTTCACAAATTAAAAATGTTTGTCTACTGGTAAAATTGCAGTGACCTCAACTTAAATATTTAAATTATTATAATAACCAGTTAAAATGGATTTTTTAAATCAAGTTAAATAATACCAAAAGCAAATGTTTTTAAGTTTTAGTAAAAGTAAGAAATATATTCAAAAATGGGCCAAAAGTGTTGTCCATCCACTCTCTCAGAGGAACATCTAAGTGTCCATCTGGCAGACGGCTCCAGTTTACACCGCTTTGTGTCCTTGGAGAGTCCTGACTCAGAGCACAGTCAGCCAGCCAAAATCTGGAGAGCATAAACACTCAGACACACACTTATCCAAGTAGTTACCCACATATTCACGTATTCAACCACTAACACGTACATTAGGACAGATTGATGGCTGATTTTCTTTGCCGTCTGTCAGTATCATATTATAATCCACCTGGCTGATCAAGGACTAATCCCCACACCCTGGTTGTCAGCTACTTGATAAAACCCACGGAAGACACATCAAAATGTGTCGACAAGCTCTTACAGAGTCAAACTGAAGTCAAATACCTACCAAACTTTCTTTTGCCACCATCCAGTACTTGAATTCTCTCTATTTCAGCCAGGCAGGGAGGTTCTAGAAAGAGACGAGAAGGGTTTTGTTTTACTTGAGGATTGTGTTTGTCCTGTGTAAGTTTGCTTTTGCTGGAGACAAGATCGTACTAAACAGCATTGTGTTGAATTTCATTGTATTGTCTTGTATTCCATCATATATCATAGCATATTATGTCACATTATACCGTATTGTATTGCATCATATCATATCATTTTATATGAAATCATATTGTATTACATTGCTTCGTATCCTATATTATTATATCATATCACATTGTATCCCATTGCATTGTATTGTATAGTATCATACTATATCGTATTCAGCATGCCATACATTATTGTATCACATTGTTCCGTATCGTGTTGCATTGCATCGTATTGTATCATTTCATATCATATCACATTGAATCGTATCACACTGTACGATATCACATCACATTGTGTCAAATCGCATTGTATTGAATCATATTAGATATCGAATCATATCATATCGTATCATATCATAGTGTATCGTATCACATTGTGTCGTGTCATATCATATCGTATCGTCTTGTGTTGTATCATATCATAACATAAATCGTATCACATTGTACTGTATCACATCATATCGCATTGTATCATGTTGTGTCCTATCTTATTATAACATAAATCATATCACATTGTATCATATCGCATCGCATCGTGTTGTGTTGTATCATATCATAACATAAATCGTATCACATTGTATCGTGTCGTATGGTATTGTATCACAACGTGTCGAATCGTATTGTATTGCATTGCATTGTATCGTATCGTACCGTATCGTTTCATATCATATCATATCATAACATTAATCGTATCTCATTGTATCGTATCACATTGTACTGTATCACATCACATCACACCATTTCATATCATATCGTATTACACTGTCTCGTATAATAAATCATATATCATCTCATATTGTACCGTATTGTATTACACAATATCATGTTATGTCTCATTATACATACCATAGATCATCGTATTGCATCGTATCTTATGTAGTATATCAACAAGCATCTGAACTGTTTTTAATGTCTGACACTGACCATTTCAGCTCATAATGGGACAAAAGGCTTAGTAAGGAGACAAATGGTGATTGAGCATCACAAAACAGAAACAGCTCTACAAGCCAAGGGGAAAATGTTGGCCGACACACACAAAAACCTGCCTTTGGCCACAAACCTCCTGTCACCTGCCGAATACTCACTCTCTCTCCAGAAGCAAAGACACCATTCAGCAGTGGACACCCAGCCGTCCCTGTAGGAGTCACAGGAGTTGAAAAATGGTCGAATGCAGACCTCATACTTGTCCAGGTTGATGGCAGCCAGCTCATTTTGATCCAGGTACAGGTCATTGTTGGTGTCTAGCTTGGAAAACATCCAGCCAATGGAGTCCTTACAGCTGGCGACCAGGCTTCTGTCCAGCACTGCCAACATGGAAGCAGACAAACATTCATTTATTTCAGCAGACAGCTGCACAAACAGAAAGCATAATCATGCCAGCACACTTACATAAACCATCAAGCTTGATCAATCATTGTTTTTGTTTAGTAGTACGCAAATCTCTATCTATAAAATGCTATCAGGATGCCCGATATCAGCTTTTGTTTTAACCAGTGTCCGATATCCCAATAAAGGAATCATTTCAGATGCCGATATAAACCAGTAACATTTACTTTATTTATTTATTTATTTATTTATAATGCGGTATGTGGTGCCCCCCCCCCCGAAAAGAAAAACAAGAAAAACAAAATCATTTGAATCATTGATACCTAAACTTTAAACATGATCTGTGTAAGGAGAAAAAAACGAGGAAAAGGACAGGAAAATCACCTTACTGGAAGAAAGAGTGTCAGAACTGGAACAATATTTAAGAATAAATGTGACAGGACTTGAAAACAACACACCAAACTTATGCAAGGGCAACAGCTACAGAGAGTGGAGAACCACCTGAACAAGAATTAAACAACTTAGAAAGGCAGGTAATGGACTTCCTTGGTAGCAAAGGGATACACCTAGAGGCCAAGGACAGAGAGGGATGTCATCCTCTTCCACGTAAAAATAAAAATCAGAAACCTGCAATCCTTATCAGATTTATGAACAGAAAAGCCAAGAAAGAACTGCTTAAACAAGGAAGGAAGCTGAAGGGAACCAATGTATATATAAATGAACACCTATTCAAGAAAAATGCAGACATTGCAAGGCAAGCGAGACTTCTGAGAAAGCAAAAGAAAATACAGTAAACATGGACTTCAAACTGTAAGGTATTCATTAAACTGAATGGGTCTCCGGAGCAGGCAAAGATTCTGATCATTAAGGAACTAACAGAACTAGAAAAATACAAGTGATAAATGAGTATATAAAACAAGTTTACAAACTATGGTTAAGATAATCAGAATTCGTCTCGTTGTTGTCTTCCTCCGCTTATCCGGGTCCGGGTCGCGGGGACAGCATCCCAACAAGGGAGCTCCAGACCGTTCTCTCCCCAGCCACCTTCACCAGTTCCTCCGACAGGACCCCAAGGCGTTCCCGGACCAGATTGGAGATGTAACCTCTCCAACGTGTCCTGGGTCGACCCGGGGGCCTCCTGCTGGCAGGACATGCCCGAAACACCTCCCCAGGGAGGCGTCCAGGAGGCATCCTGACCAGATGCCCAAACCACCTCAACTGACTCCCTTCGATCCGGAGGAGCAGCGGTTCTACTCCGAGTCCCTCCCGAATGTCCGAGCTCCTCACCCTATCTCTAAGGCAGAACCCGGCCACCCTACGGAGGAAACTAATTTCCAGTGGCGGCTGGCCAGTAGAGGGCGATAGGGCGCTGCCCTCCCAGTTTTTCTGTGTTTTTAATTTTTATTTAAAATAAATAAATAAATAAAATTAACAATAATCACATATTCTAAGTTAATTGTGTGTTTTGTAACAAAAATAAATCATATATATATATATCTATATTGGTCTCTGCCGGTCTCTGCCGATCTCTGCCGAGCGGTGGAGGCTGTGTGCTGTTTTTCAATCGCCCAAACAGGACGAGACCAGCTGTCCAATTGCTGACAAGAATATCAAAGGGTAGGAATGGGAATGTATCCAATCAGCGTTGACGTTGTTTCAGAACGTTTCAGAAGCATGATGGGCGATGGAGCTACCGCCAAAGGATTCGTTGGTGTTCGGTAGAACTCGGCAGAGTCGTTTTTGGTCGTGGCGCAGATGTAACATGGACGCCGCCGGTGACTGCAACCAGCATGGATACCGGATCTCAGAAGCCACTGAATTCAGTTCGGTCTCTTCTCCAGTATCCGTTCGAGAGGAGAACTATGGTGGAAAAACTTAATGTCAAAGAGCTTGGACCAGATCAGCCCGACGTAAAGATAAGCCAGCAGGACAAGGAGAGAGGTAAACTGTACACACGAGGCTTCTCCTGAAATTGGTACACCAGGAAGGCTTGGCTAGCTGGATGCAATCACGCTAATGCGTTATTTTGCTTTCCGTGTTTGTTATTCAAAACGGCTGGGACAGATAAGTCATGGATGAGTCAGGAGTTACAGACATGAAACATTTTTCTGAGAAGGTGAAGAAACACGAGTCATCCCGGGCACACATGGACAACAACACAGTGAAGCTAGCCATGCTAGGCAGCAGAGCTAACGTTGCCATGCAGGGAACAACAGCAGCTGGGTGCAGAGGTAAGCTGTGCATTACATTTCTGTGAACAAGACAATCAGAATCAGAAATCCTTGGTTGTCCCACAAACCGGGACATTTGTTTAATAACATGTGTAATGTGCAATAACTGTAAAAACTAATTTCAACACACATACTTATTATACATATTTAATCACGTAAATGTGTATTTCATGTGAATTTGTACATACATCAATCTGATTCCATTTTACTTGTTACACTTCTGCTGCAGCAAACAAATTTCCCAGATTTTGGGACAATTAAACATTTCTGATTCTCAATTAGATGTTTTTACCTCAAATGTAAAAACATCTGATTGAGAATCAGAAATGTTTTATTGTCCCAAAAACTGGGAAATATGACATTTGTAAGAGGATACTGATGACATTATTTCCTATGAAAGTGTTTCCTATGTACTTATCTATTGTTTTTTTATTTATCTACTTTAAAGAGGATTAAGACTTTCCTGAGGAACACCGTGACACAGGATAGGCTGAATGCTCTTGCCATGCTCTCCATGGAAAAAAGCTTGTCACAAACATTCCTGACTTCAATAAAAAGCTAATCGAGAGCTTTAACACTCAGAAGGACAGAAGGGCAAAATTTCTGTACAAATGAGGTATTACACACACACAAATACATCCACTTGATATTTGTATAAAGTTGACCTTGGCACAACACTCCAGAAATATTTAACAATGTAAATTTCTGGCATTTTGTCTAAGTGGTGTTTACTACCATTACTGTAACAGTGACCTGCTCATAATTTTTCGTGTTCACTCAAATGTTGAAATTAAACAAAATGTTTTTGTTACTTGCCTCTTGCATTGCCTATTTACCATTTATGGTCATGTTATTTTATGTGCAATTTAATGCAGTATTTTTCAACCTTGGTCTGCAAGGCAGCGTGCCAATAGTCAGACACACCTGGATGAATCAGTTTGTCCAATGATGTAAGACAGGAAATAAAAGAGCTGTGCTTAATTCAGGAAATAGTGAAGATGTGCACAAAGCTCAGAAAGCACAAGTTTGTTTAAAAATAAAAAATAGCACAGCCCCACCAAAAATATTTTTCACCAGCTGCCACTGCTAATTTCGGCCGCTTGTATTTGTGATCTCGTTCTTTCGGTCATTACCCAAAGCTCATGACCATAGGTGAGGATTGGGATGTAGATCGACCGGTAAATCGAGAGCCTGGCTTTCTGGCTCAGCTCCCTCTTCACCACGACAGATCGGCTCAGCGTCCGCATCACTGCAGACGCCGAACCAATCCGCCTGTCGATCTCCCGATCCCTCCTACCCTCAGTTGTGAACAAGACCCCGAGATACTTAAACTCCTCCACTTGAGGTAGGACCTCTCTCCCGGCCCGGAGTTGGCAAGCCACCCTTTTCCGGTCGAGAACCATGGTCTCAGATTTGGAGGTGCTGATCCTCATCCCAGCTGCTTCACACTTGGCCGCGAACCTACCCAGCAAGAGCTGAAGGTCAAAGTTGAATGAAGCTAGGAGGACCACATCATCCGCAAAAAGCAGAGAAGAGATTCTCCTGCCACCAAACTCGACACACTCCACACCACGGCTGCACCTAGAAATTCTGTCCATAAAAGTTATGAACAGAACCGGTGACAAAGGGCAAAGAAGAAGAAGAAGAAGAAGAAAATATCATTTCTATAGCGCCTCTCAAGATAAAAATCACGAGGCGCTTAAGCATAATTCTGCGCACACGAAGATGCTTAAGAGACCTGGATGATGAAGCTCAATGGTTAAAGGAATCACTGAAGCGGTGTGAAGCGCTCCGTCGCGCGTCTAGGCGGTACCGTAGGAGGCAAGCTGCCGTGGTTCGCCGCATGCTACAGGAGCGAGCTATCTAGGTGCGCACAGCGTCCCCCGGTCCCCTCCCCCTTGTCCGGAACTCTACCTCACCAGTCTGAAGCAGCCACCCTGTCCGTAACAAGTCCGGACCTGTTACTGGGGGCTTCGTCCGGTTAAATTCCGGGACACGTTATCCGGATGTTTGTATTCAGACACAAAGGTCTTACGGACAGAGTCCGGAACATTTCCGTTTTTCATGGCCTGTCTTAAGGGGGCTAAAAAGACTGGCAGAGATGGGGACAGCCTAACTGAGGGTGGCAACTGGTTCCAGAGTGACAGTGCTAGGACTGAGAAAGCCTGGTCCCCGCAAGTACGGCACTTAAAGAGAGGGACAGCGAGCAGGCCTTGGTCAGAGGAGCGCAGAGCGTGTGATGGGGAATGTCTGTTCAGGAGTGTGGCTAGATAGGGGGGAGCACCACCCTGGAAGAAATTGTAAACAGAGACGAGGAGTTTAAAGTGTGAACGATAACAGACCGGAAGCCATTGCAGGGAGGCCAGAACCGGACTGATGTGGTCCCGTTTCCTGGTCCCAGTCAGGAACCTGGCTGCGCTGTTCTGCACAACCTGTAGGCGACGCAGTGATGACTGACACAACCCTGCATATAGAGAGTTGCAGTAATCAAGCCTAGACATTACAAAAGCATGTAGTACCCGCTCCAGGTGGGCTCTTGACAGCATAGGCTTAATTTTTGCAAGGCGTCTCGCGTCTCAGGTCAAAGAAACTGGACCGGATCACAGAGTTGATGTGAGCATCAAATTTAAGTCCAGCGTCAATTTTCACCCCCAAACTGGTGACAACTGGTTTTGAGTAGGGAGAAAGAGGGCTAAGATCAACATGACCCACAGCCCTGCTGTTGGGGTGAAAAACAATGAGCTCTG